GACCGAGATGCTCCGATCAGTACACCCTGAACTCCAGTGTTTAAAGTGTGACCGGACACGTTCGGTTGTGATTTTCCCTCTCTAGAACCTTACTGGAGTCGACCGGACGCTGACTCTCAGCGTCCGGTCACTTCATCTCTCAGCGTTCGGTCGCACCAGACAAAATCACCTTGGTCAAATGAACTGACCGGACCCTGAGCCAGCGTCCGGTCAACACCGGAGCCAGCATCCGATCAGTATTTGACCCTCCATTCACTTCCAACTCTCGATCATATGTGAATGAAGTTTGCTCCATTGGATCTAAGGGCTATTTTGGAGCTACCTAGTGCTAGATTTAGCAAGTGTGCACCACACCTAACTCACTAGACTCACCTAGGTCAAGCTACCCGTTCATACCCCCCTTAATAGTACGGTCAAAGAAAAAAACAAAGTCCTAAACTACTCTAAGTGTCTCTTCAACTCCAATCGACACTTAGAACTAGTCAATCCTTAACCTTGTCGTCCATCCTTTGAAAACCAAAACGATTTCCATCGTAGGGGCATGACCACCATGATTGCCCAATCAATCTCTATTACCGTGACCTAACTTAATTGTCTCTGCAAAACACACGTTAGTCACAGTAATCACGTATTGTCATTAATCACCGAAACCCAACTAGGAGCCTAGATGCTTTCAACGTCGTTGACATGGATATTCTTCTATGATATAAAATGGGCAATTGCTACTTCGGAGACATTTTCTTCAGCATCATAATCACACATACAAGGGCTACCATGGAAACACTCAATAGTCACACCTTCAGTGCTATTCTGAGCAGGGATCTCAATTGTGAGCCAGGCTATCCTACGAGACTGATCTAGCTTCACTATCCCTTCTGTGCGAATAATCGCCCCTAGATTGCCAATGATTTGCCTCAGAATGCTTTTGCGTGATACGGTAATTACTTTAGTGGGACCCTGCAAAGTATATATTAAAATGTCTATAACTTGTGTTCATATGCTAATGTGTTAGAAAACAAAATATATTCTTCAAATATGAAGAGAAAGGAAAGCATAGAGCAGGTAACTATATAAATTTTGGAGGAAGCAAAGGAATACATTGTTGGGTCCCGTGATACGGACAACATCATTTTGTGCAGGTTGTGAGGACGATTCTCCGATCACACCCTTTCCCTTATTCATTTTATAAGCCTTCAAATAAGCCTCGTTATATCCTGGAGCAAATAGGAAAAGCAAAAGCAAGATCCAATCATTTTTACCTAACACAAGCTAGTTAACACGACAAACAGGAGGGCGGCATATAGGCATATTAAAAAATATGTTATCTAGTATATGGATATTGCAAAATAGCGTATAAAAATATTTCATGAGCAAAAGTAACCCATTAAACTAAGAAAGAGTAAAAAGGGAGACAATATTCATGTGGCGATATCCTTGCATCCTTTTGATGCCACAAATTTAAGCATGTGGATCATGCATTACTATTTTGTTTTTCTAGCCTACAAGCAAACAACTAATCGATCTTTTAAAAGGATGAATTACCTAGGGCACGTGTGATGGAATGGATGCAGCGAGATGTGAGAAGTGCGTGGTAAGGAATCCATTCTATAAATAGGCAGAGCAGGCTACCCGCATGCCTGCATATGGCCCTCAGTACCATTTTGAGTCGTTCTCGTTTCCCGAAGGGACAAACGCTTTTAGCTGCAACCAAATATACATGAAAATATTAATATTTATAGTACATAATTAATATCATCAGATAGATGATTGAATATATTTACATAATAAACTCATTTAAAAATACAAATATTGTTATTATTTTCTATAAATCCCAGTACGAATAGCATAACGACACTTATTTGGGGAGAGAGGGAGTATTGTGAATGCAAAGAGAAATGTACATTTGTGTATGGATTGAGACATGGTCCAATAGACAATACAACACCAGCGTTTGTTGGTGACAACACTAAGATATGGCAAAACACAGTTCGAGTGTTCGTATGTATGTAGCAATTTTCCTGAAATAGACAATACTAATTGATGTCTTAGTACCAATGTACAGTATGACGTACTATTCCTGTCCTTTATTCGTGCATAGAGGCATGGGATCACTGCAGCATATAAACAAATACTTGGAAGCTTGTAACAAAGGCTAGATGATGTGGAAGCAGCGAGAGGACCTAAGTGCATACCCTTACCAGGGTACCAGTGTATGCACGTTAGTGGAAGCCACTGTTTCTTTTTTTGTTGATGTATTCGTATGATTAGCAAAGCTTGTAGGGATGGATCCAAATCATTTCCACGTGGAATGGAATTTGATTACAACTATTTTACACATTTTACTTCAAATTTGAATTCAAATATGGACCCTGATGGGTACGAATAAATATTAGCACATTGATATTTAACTAAGTTTGAAAATATTTGCATATGGGCCCTGCCAGGTACCAGTTACATATTGGCCCCGTTCAGCTTGCTAAAACTTGATTGAATTGGCTGAAAACACTGTTCTGGCTGAATTGTTGTGAGAGAAAAATACTGTTCTAGCTGAAAAAACAAGCTGAATAGTGCGGATTATAAGGTAAGCCGAACGCGGCCATTATTTGAATGGTTTCACCGTTCGTCATGAGTACTTTCTCCGTCCGCTGATAAATGTCATTCTCGCTTCTTGAGAAATAACCTTGACTAATTTTATATAAAAAATATTAATATTTATTGTACATAATTAATATCATTAGATAGATATTGAATCTACTTTCATAATAAATTTATTTGTAGATACAAATGTTACACACATTTTCTACAAATCTAATTAAACTTATGGCACGAAAAAAAATAATAGTTATTTCGGGACGGATGGAGTAGTATGGATTGCCATTGCCCATTGGACTCCATCCAACCCTATACCCTAGCACATCAGCTATTCAACTACAGTGACATGAGATTGGAATCCATCCAACCCTATACCCTATACCCTAGTACACGGTACGGCCAGATTAGACATGCCAAGAACGCTTCCGCACCTGATGGCTCACTTTCACTTTAGATATTAATTGTTCAACAACAGTGACATGATACCAGCTAGATTGGATCCAAGCATGCTTTTAGCATGTAATGATTGGCTACAACCTTGATCATGTGCCATACTGGGGGTTGCCCTTGGCTACATATAAGGAATCACGAGACCGAAGAAAAAACTGACAAGGATATAGGACAAAATCCCCAACATGGATGAAAATGTACTAATGAACAAAGATCTATGTAAGAAGCCACCAGGTAAGGAATGAAGGCATACAAGCACCCTATTTCTTTGTAATTTATCAGACACCGTTGGAAGACAATAAAGCATTTAGTGTGGGTATGGTATAGGTGCAAACCTGTTAAGGTTCAACCACTGGTAATATAATGACTTGGAGCGGAACCCGTAGTCAAGCATTAAATATGGAGGCGTGATTGAGATGTCAAATCCGGGGTGTACTATGTAATAGGCTATAGGGCACTAGATAGAGTCCAAATGTTCAATGTTCATGTCACTGGTATCGAATAGGTCTTGTGTAAGTTGACCATGGAACCATGCGACATCTTTGAATCTCTAGAGAGACAATCTGGACAACCATATCTTCCATGAGTTTCTAATGTTAGCAGACAAAGCCTTCTCTTTAGCATAGAAAGGGTGGGCTGGCTTGTCCTGCCATGGTTGTCCTACTAACAATTGGGTTACAGTGTCCACCTTTGTTGTGAAACTCCTCTTTGCATACACGTCGAGTACACAGCTGTTTATATGGACCCACTTTCTGATTTAAGCCAGTATGTGTGATGTATATGCTACCATAGAACCAAATTACTCAGTTTAACCAAATGACATATTTAGGAAATGCTACAAAGAGGTACGTGGCATGTTTTTTTGTGTAAAATGATCACTATACATAGCACCAACAAAATTTCGCAAATAGATTGTAGTGTTTTTCCTATTCGACCAATCATGGTTGTATGCAAACGTGCATGAGTTCCAACATATGTATGATGCGGGACGGTACAATTGGATGCTTATCATGAAATATATTTTAACAATAAAGTTTTCTGATATACAAATGGTGGTACTACTAAAGGGATATCATCTAGGTCCCTGAACTTTCTAAAGTGATATGTGTATGTCTCTAAACTTGGCAGACGGTGTCATCCAGATCCCTGAATTTTCAAAGTGATCACCGTGGTCCCTAAACTTGGTCTGTGGTGTCATCCCGGTCCAAATGTGGTCTAACCCACTCTATAAGTTGGCGTGGCACGCTGGCTGTACGTTAGAAAATGTATGAAAGTGTTGAATAAAAGGGCAATATCAGGAGCATGCATAATTACCGAGAAGGGAGGTCATTCGATCAGTGCTTACGAGAAGGTACGAAAATATTACATGAAAGGTCTGGCTCGGAGGACAGGAAGCCTGTCATGTATGCTACCATCAATGCTCTTTAGAGAAGAAGACAAAAAGAAAAGCATACATGAGCTATGTAGGTGTATCCATATGGCATAGTATTTTGGACACAACATGCGAGATATATTATAGGAGCACAGTAACATAGTGCTAATGAGAGCGACGGATCAATGCTTGGTTGATGGCAGCAAGGTTTAAGATATGTAGTAGCATAGTTTTGAGAGCGATATATCGACAACGTGAGAAGAGAAAACGCAAGACAAAAATAGAAACACATGATCTGAACCATACAAACCATATCAGACGGGTGAGACCAGACTATCGTGGACATGCTCAGAGGCCACGGAGACGGCGCGGACTCGTACTTTTAATGTTACTCCAGATAGCGACATGGTCACCAAGACACATTAGCCACAGGTAATTATTAGCACAAAACGTATACACGATACTTGACGTAACAAAAAAAACTCAGATTATGCTTGGTGAATTGTCTTCACAAAATTAAGGTGGCATCCACATAGGAAGCTACAAATTATTTGTTACATAGCTATATCTATACCAGAACATTCACCTACAGCATCACTGCTTTGCTCTGCCCTTCTACATCAACCGTGCACAAATTAGTTGATGAATTCAATAAGGCAATCACAGCGGCTCTAAACATGACAAAATTGCCCTATGATATAAAGCTACCATGGCGAGAATCATTCCCCAAAATTTTGGACCAATAAAATACTAGGCACTGCCATTCAATACTTTACAAAACCTGTTTGTTTTTGTGCTTTGCCAAGAAATGACTCTATACCACCGTGGAATAGAGAAAGATGTTTAGCTAAAGCAAAACCACAATACATACCATCCACAGCAGCACTTAATATGCCCCCAGCATAGCCAGCACCTTCCCCAATTGGATATAATCCTCGCAGTGATGTACTTTCGTATGTTTCTCCATGTCGTGAAATTTGTAAGGGAGAACTTGTCCTAGTCTGGAAACAGATCTTAAACAATAAGCATAAAAGTAACCAGAGGGTGGAAATATTCTTTTCTCAAATAATCAGGAAAGCTGGGTATCATGGCGTTAAGAAGAACACTGAGAATAGAACAGCACCAAAACACACACAAATGAACCCACACTGGAGGGTGAAAATAAAACTTCATTGATAGAGATACGGGCAGATGATTAACGAGTCGTTATCAAACTAGAAGTAGACTTTCTCATGTTTTAACTAGTTGGCGTTTAGAAATTTATCAGGTGAAGAATCATAGGAAAGAGCAGAGCAATTTGCATACCTCCACACCATGAAGTAGGGCCTTGCTAGAAAGAAAGCCTGGCATCTGAAAATATTGCATTACAAATGAATCACCACATGTGGGATTTGAATCATAAAACAAACACAAAATAAGAATTGTCATACCTCTCTGTCAATCATTATTATTGACTGTTGTAAAGCTTCAGTTATGTAAGGAGGGAATAGCTCATGGAGATTAGATGGACGAACTCCTAATCTGTAGCTTGATGGTGGCAGTGTTGTAACTGGAACAGACAACCAGGTTAATCAAAGTAAAACTAAATGATTACTTACTACCTTAAAAGTTTTAGCAATGCCAGTACCTGACAGTCTGTTGCTGATAAAATCGGTGACACACTGTGCAGGAACAACAAAATTCCCTCCACCCATCATAGCTGCTCTTCTTTCAAATTCTCTCTGGTTTCAATGAGTATAAATTTTTTGTGAGCTTAAGGAGCGAAATTTTGCCATTAAAATGCACTACAAATGAAGAAAAAAATTGTAGAACATTCTCTATGCTCATACATTTCATACTAGAACATAATGAACATCCATCGTAAACTTTAAGATGGATGGCAGTGATTTAAGCTGTCATTATTTTACATTAATTATTGTTGAGCTGAATGTATGAGCCAGTCCATTCAATAACTTAAGTTGATGAACAAAGGCGGGCAGTATATTTGTTACATTATTTGCACAAAATTCTATATTTTCCACCCACTTGACCATTTGAGTCTTTATCTAAAATTAGATAGGTTACAATACCATAACAGAAAATTAGCTAAGTAACTCCCTAGAATTATTCCTTTGATATCCTTTGAGAACCGCTAACAAGTCAACTTTATTTTTTTTAGTTAAAGAAAAGATGAAACTGATCAGACAATATGGATAGTTTATCATGTCTTTCCTACCCAACTTGGATACAGAACTTCTACAAGCGCGTTTGCAGAGTGATGGAGTAGCCACTAACCAGTAAGATCACTCTAGTTGGAGTCCTTGCCTTTATATCTCAAATCAAATTGTACTAAATATGTTTCCAGGTTGTATAGAGCCAAAATAATTGATTCAAGCATGAGGAACAAATATGTTTCCAGGTTGTATAGAGCCAAAATAATTGATTCAAGCATGAGGAACAAATATGTTTCCAGGTTGTCAGAAAACCTCTTGCGAGTTGCGACATCTGTGATTATTCTAGCGTGTTGCTTACTGAATGTACACTATTTGAATACAGGTAGACATTAGCAAGTTACTACAGCAATTTGAGTGGTTCTGTTGTTATCACACATAATTCTCATATAACTAGTACCTGGAATTCAACACCAGCAAGAGGACCATGGGATTGAAATGGCTTGAAATCATGAGATGATACAGTGACTACAAGAGCTGAGTTTGCCCACTTTGATGCACGCCGTGAGAACGACATGCCATTGATGCACAGTTCTGATGGATTTGTGCTGGTTGGAACAACCTGAATGCATGTCTCAAAAATTTGAATGGAACGTCATCGTATTACGAAATGGAATATCAGAGAGCGAAGGGAGAGAGGGGAGGGAGGGAGGGAGGGAAGGAGGGAGAGAGCGAGTGCCTTGCCTGTCCACCTGGGCACATGCAAAACGAGTAGCAACTACGACTTGGCTCAGCTATGTCAATTTCATTCGCTGCATCTCTTTCACCAACAGACTTCGCTATTTTGTAATCTGCCACAGGTATCCGCCCACGTCCTCTCTGTACTTCAGCCGCCAGTTCGGAGTACTGCAATTTGTGACATTAGCAATAGCATGCATCATATACTTAGCTACACCAAGCAGACAAGTAGTTGAGCATTAAATCATTATTTACCAAGCCCACAATGTGCAGATACATCAAAGGAGCACAGCAGATACTTCAAAATATTAAAATAGTACATTTTGTTTCCACTATTGTTTCCGGCAATTTGCATCTCCATTTCTCCATGTTTCATATTTTATGGAAATGATTCAGTTGATGGATTTCCATCGCTGCTTTCACCCTAGTATTACTTTATAACTGAACAGCAGAATCACTGATGGAAGCAAAGCTTGAGCTACCCTGGGCCAAGGCTGACCCTTGGTCACAGCCCGGGAACAAAGGCACAGTACCATGCTTCAGTGTCCTGTCTAATAATTGTAAGTGAATTCATTCAAGTACGACACATGTTCCTTAGCCTGTAGTACACAGGCTACCCTGCTCTCTGTTTAAAAGATAACTATCCAAGCTGCTATCTGCATTACAAAACTGGGTCAAAGACCTTGGAAACAATAGGCAGTTTCTTTATTGTTTCCTTGATTACTAACAGATCACTCAGAAACAAGTTAACACTCTAAACCTCGCATAGTTGGCTTTGGCTTTAATTTTCCTCATTCGAAAATAGCCTTGAACATCAAATATCATGCATGTAATAAAGGTAAAATTACAATTCCTTCTCTAGTTCTCTCTTAATGAAATGATACGCAACTCTCTTGCATTTTGAGAAAAAATAATGGTAATCACACTGGACAGTGTCATCCAGAAAGAAGATGATCAGAATAAAGAAAAAGGTCTTACTTGGATACTGTTTATCAGTTCTTGGGGATGCTCAATTCTTAAGCCAACCTGTAAACAAGAACCTTGACTTTAAGTTACATGAACTGAAGTGTAAGCAATTATTATTTAGTAGTGTAACATGCAAGGATAAAGTGAACGACAGTTGATAAAAGGCTACAAGGGGGAGAATCTCCAAACACTTATGGCCCAGTTTAGTCAAAAAATGAATTCACATTAGGCATTTCTAAGGAAGCTGTGCGATTTGTGTGGGTGCACAAAATGTTACTACTAGCAACATTGCATGCGAAAGTTGTATTTGAGGCTGGAAAGTAAAATAGGGTACTGGGATATTGTTAAAATAAAGAACATTGATAAGCTATGGTGAAATGTGCAGAAGCTCATTAGTTTCTAATCCACAGGATTAGCAGGTTGTCTCATGAATTGGATGTGTGCTACATCATTTTAATTTTTAATTTTTCATTTCCATAATGCCACCCAATGAACTTTTGCATTTTAAAAAGCATGGCCTCATCTTCCATTATAAATTGTCTGCCATGTGACCACTTGATACAACCAACGTAAGTGATATCAACCTAGAATACGATTTTAATAGCATAGGCAACTTACAGCAAAACTTTTTGGGCTCATGTCTACATTATGCTGCCAAAGCATACTATATGTGTCACGGGCTGAGTGACCAACTGCCAATACAACTGCATCAAATGCTAGTTTCTGGCTGGCAGAACCTGGCCGTAGTTCCACATCAGAGACCACAATTCCTTTTACCTGCCCATCTTATTAGGCAATAGGAGATTGTATATTGCATATATTAGGCAATAGGAGATTGTATATTGCATATTTAGGCAGTCCAGTCAATTAGGATCAGAGATTTACTCCTGTCCTTGTATTTGTAAACTGCCATATATAGCAGCAGCAGCTGCCCTATAATAGAGGCGCCCCTCTCCCATTGAGAGTGTGGCTTATTGCCCCAACATCATCTTCTACATGGTAATCAGAGCAATCTGATCTTGGCCCTCCCTCTCCTCCCTCAAGCCTGCGCCGCTCTCTCCCTGAGTGCCGCCCAACCTTGCTGCGCCGCCAAACAGCCGCGCCATCATGACCACAGAATCCTCCACCACCTCCGCCACCTCTCCAGCCATGGCTGAAGCCATAAACCCAACCGTTTGCCCATATGCTATGGTAAACGTCAAGACCCACATCCCCATGACCCTCGAGCTGCGACCCTCCAACTACACCAAGTGGTCCACAGCTTTCAACGCCATGTGTGGCAAATTCGGGCTGCTCTCGCACCTTGACGTCGTCTCCCCTACGCCCACCGATGATGCATGGGTGCAGGCTGACTTCTGCATCCGCAGTTGGATCTTCGGCACCGTCTCCGACTCCGTCCTCAACCTCGCTATGACCGGCGCCCAGCAGACCGCCGGCCAGCTCTGGACAGCCATCGCCGCCCTATACCAAGCTAACAAGGCGCCATTGTTTGTTTTCCTAAGTCACGAAGTTCCACTCATTGACCTGTATGACTCCTCCATCGACGAAGTACTCGCGGCGCATGCATGAAGGAGGCTGCCGACAATCTTCGCGACGTCGGGCAGACCATCACCGAGTCCAACCTCGTCCTCAACCTGCTCCGCGGCCTCAACGAGAAGTACCAATCCGTCGCCGACAACATCGCTGCCCAGGAACCCCTCACCTTTGCTGTTGCCAGGAACCAACTCCTCCTCAAGGAGCTGCGTCTCAAGAACGAGGACAAGGTCCGCGCCGCTTCAGCCCTTCTCGCTGCCTTCACCGGCGCCCCTAGTGGCGCCCCGGCGAGTCCCGCGAAGAAGAATCGCCCCAATGGCAAAGAATCAGCGCCAAAGAATAAAGCACAAGGCCAACAACACGGCAACGGCGGCCGCCATGACAACCCTCGGCGTGATGTTGCGCCAGCCACGGGGTTTGATCCTTGACTGTGCACGTGTCAACCCCGGCGCGCGGCTATACCTCCTCGGGAGCGCGACGAGGCGGTTCCGCACCTGGCGACCACACATGGCAGCCCCACGCCAACAGGGGGTGCTCGGTGCCTCTCCTCAGGCGCACACGGCGTTCGCCCCCGTCCAGGCTTCCTCCAACAACACTGGTGGACCGACATGGGACTCGGCCGACCTCATTGCTGCCCTGCAACACTTGACCGCCCAGGGCAGCCCTCATGGGTTGTTGACTCCGGCGCTTCATCCCACATGACGCCCTCCGATGGTATGCTCCTCCAAATACCTACCCCCTCCACTCCTCTATAACAAGAGGCAATGGCACTAGCATTCCTGGCCACGCCTAGAGGTCACTCCATCCTTCCCACCGCCACAGCAAACTTCTCCCTCAATAACATTCTCGTCGCCCCTTCCCTCGTCCGTAATCTTTTATCCGTTCGTCAATTCACCCGTGAAAATCGCTGCTCTCTTGAATTTGACGCTCTTGGTTTTTCTGTTAAGGATACCCAGACGGGACGCGTGATTCATCGCTGCAATAGTACCGGTGATCTCTACACCATACCTGCTATCCCTCCGACCGCTGGCACCTCTTCACATGCTCTCCTGGCTGTTTCGTCGACCCTGTGGCACCAGCGTCTTGGCCATCCAGCCCCTGCTGCATTACAACAGTTAAATAAAATACATGCTGTTTCTTGTAATAAAGTAGACCGCTCCCTCTGTCATTCATGTCAACTAGGCAAGCATACGCGTCTACCCTTCAGTGCCTCTCAGTCTTGTTCTCATGCCCCGTTTGACCTAATTCATTGTGATGTTTGGACCTCTCCAATACCTAGCATATCTGGTTTTTCATACTATTTAGTCTGCCTGGATGACTACAGTCACTATTGTTGGGTTTTTCCTCTTCGACGCAAATCCGAGGTCCACCAACACTTAGTTGAGCTCACAGCTCTTGCACAAACCCAATTTAACCTCCCTGTAAAATGCTTCCAAACCGACAATGGCACCGAATTCGTCAATACAGCCACCACCACCTTCTTCGCTGCTCGGGGAACACTTCTCCGTCTCTCCTGCCCATACACTTCCCCTCAAAATGGCAAGGCGGAACGCACCATTCGCACCCTCAACAACTCAATTCGCACCATGCTGCTCCACGCTTCCATGCCGCCTGCATACTGGGCTGAGGCCCTTGCTGCCGCCTGCTACTTACTCAATAGGCGCCCTTCCTCCTCCATATCCCATGAGGTTCCCTTCACTCGCCTCCATGGACAGCCACCCACCTACAGCCACCTTCGTGTTTTTGGGTGCCTATGCTACCCAAACCTACAGGCTACCTCCCCACATAAGCTCGCACCTCGCTCCGCGGCATGCATTTTCCTTGGGTATCCATCCTCTCATAAGGGTTATCGATGTCTTAACCTGGAAACTCAACGCATCATTATTTCTCGCCATGTTGTGTTCGATGAGACTGTTTTTCCTTTTTCCACCGCCAGCGTCCTCCCATTCCCTCGCTCCCTGGATTTCCTTCTAGACAACGATTCGGTTTCGGTGCCTTGCTCTACTGTTCCTGCAGGTGGAGGTCCCTCCTCAACGACCACGGTTGCTCCGTCCACCCTGGACGGTGTGCAGCCGCCCCCTGATGATGAGCCGGACCCGGCTCTTCTCCTGCCTGGGGGGCGCGGCCCTGTGCCCCCTAGCCCCAGTTCGGCTTCTCCACCACCGGGCGGGTGTGGTCACGTGCCCCCGCCTGGCCTTCCTGTGGCTCCGTTCCCACGGACCTCATATCCGACGACCCAATGGTGCAGGCGCCATCATCGTCCCTCTTACAAAGACCGGCGCCTCCAGTCGCAACCCCATCTCCGCCACTCACGCGCACACCAGACCGGCGCCATCCCGCTGTGTGAGCTACGAGGCTCGCCGCCACCTCCTCGCTTCACCATCGCCTTTTACGGCGAACTACCGCATAGCCTTCGCCGATGCCAACCGGGCGGGCTGCGATGATGGTGAGTACCGTGCACTCGTCGACAACGACACTGGCGTCTTGTTCCGCGCCCTCCCGGGCGCGAACGCTGTGACGGGCAAGTGGATTTTCCCAAGACAAATTCCATGCCGATGGGTCCTCGCTCATCACAAGGCCCGCCGGGTGGTCCGCGCGGTTTTCCCAACGAGAAGGTATTGACTACGACGAGACATTCATCCGGTGGTCAAACAGCTACCATTCGGATTTGTTCTCGGCATTGCCGCCTCCGCGCCGGCGATCCATCACCGGATGTGAAGAATGCCTTTCTTCACGGCCACCTCGACGAGACGGTCTCATCGTCAAGAGCCACCGTGTTTCACGTCGACCCACCACTGCAGAGATCACGCTCGCCTCCTGCGAAGTCCTCAGACGGATCAAGCAGCCCCAGCGTGCTTGGTACCGGCGGGTTCATGGCCTTCCTTCAACAAATTTCGGCCATCACCTCCGCCTCCGACACCGTCCCTCTTTGTTCTCACCGAGGGACGAGTCTTGCCTACTTGCTGCTCTACGTCGACGACATCATCCTCACCGCCTCAACTCCCGCTCTTCTGCAGCGACTCATGGCCCGACTCCAGTCTGAGTTCGCCATGACCGACTTGGGTGCTCTTCACCACTTCCTCGGCGTCGCCACCCGCACTCTTCGACGGCTGTTCACATCCACGGATGACAAGACGCCGTCGATCTCCTCCAATGAGGCGGCATGGCTGAGTGTCATCCTACGGCAACCCCTGCTGACACTTCGAAGCAAGCTCTCCGCCCATGACGGCGACAAATCGTCGAGACAAGGACAGCTCGAGTTCGTGGAGCTTAGCAGGGGCTCTTGAAGACTGACTCGACGCGTCCCGATCCGCTTATGCGCTTCAACAGTGTGTCTCTTCATGCACGCCCCAAGGAGCCCCACTGCGGCCGATCAAGCGCGATTCTGCGCTATGTGAAGGGCACGCTATCCTCCGGTCTTCACATTGGCGCCGCTCCGTTCGACACCGACCGCATACTCGATGTCTTGGACCGGGTTTGGTTGCCCGACTGACTCAGCGGTCCACTTCGGTTTCTGCGTCTATCTCGGCGACAACCTCGGTCTCCTGGTCCTCCAACGCCCGCACCACGGTCTCCCGCTCTAGTGCCGAGGCGAATACCGTCGTCAGGTAGCTCACGCCAGGCCGAAAGTCTTTGTTGGTCGCAGCAACTCCTTCAGAGCTCCATCTTCCACGCCCTGTGCCACGGTGGTTTTCTGCGACAACGTTAAGCGCCATCTACATGACGGCCAATTCAGTCCACCACAAGCGCATCGAAGCATATTGAAATTGACATTCACTTTGTGCGCGAGAAGGTGGCTCTTGGTGAGATTCGGGTCCTTCATGTTCCTTCATCTCATCGGTTCTTGACATTATGACAAAAGGGCTCCCAACGCCACTTTGCTTCAAGAGTTCGAACCACTGTATAGTCCATGAAGCCCCCGCTTGGTCAAGGGCGGGTATTAGGCAATAGGAGATTGTATATTGCATATATTAGGCAATAGGAGATTGTATATTGCATATTTAGGCAGTCCAGTCAATTAGGATCAGAGATTTACTCCTGTCCTTGTATTTGTAAACTGCCATATATAGCAGCAGCAGCTGCCCTATAATAGAGGCGCCCCTCTCCCATTGAGAGTGTGGCTTATTGCCCCAACATCATCTTCTACACATCTTCCACTATAAGGTCATCTACTCTAGCATTAAATCTTATGGTAACCTGTAAAAAAAAGGAACATGGTGCATCAATGCAATGGATCCTGCAGAACAAAAGAAACTACATAGCTCAATAAACACATATATGCTGAAACTTACACCCAACTCTCTTAAGTGATGCCTGAAATTTCGCAGCAGTGGAACAAGTTTATCAGTACCCAAGTGTGGTTTACCATCAACTAAAATGTTTGGAGGGGCTCCAAAGTGAACAAATGTTTTCATAACCTGCAATCCAAGACCCACGGTAACTAAAATAACCAATGTGTTCAAAGCTCAAACTGTAGAAAATGCCTGATAAATCAGTTAAAGAGGCTTAAAAAAATCAAAACTTAAATTCTCCTGTTGTTGGAGCCGTGCAGTCAAGTCAGTGGACAGGCTACACAGAAATGGCCTCGGCTCCCTGATCATCTTAATCGCATGGGAGATTTAGAAATACCGCAATGACCGAGTCTTCAACAATGCTTCCAAATATTTCCTTGGTGGTTAGAAGAGGAAGGAGCCCTATGGAGCTCAACCAGGGCTCAGGGCATCCGGAACCTTATCTAGGTTCTGTTTTCTGTTCTTTGTGGTCTTTTTCTGTGATTGAAGGTGGGTTGCTTGCTCATTGTGATCTAGTGCAAGGGTGGGTTTGGTGTGTGGTGTCTTGGTGTTGTACATTTGGTACTCTTCTTAATGAAATGACACACTCTCCTGTGTAGTCAAAAAAAAAATCACAGCACTAGTTCCTGTGCAAGGGTGGGTTTGGTGTATGCTTTTCGCGGACGATGTAGTGCTAGTTGATGAAAGTCGGACAGGAGTGAATCAGAAACTGGAGTTATGGCGGGAGACTTTGGAGTCCAAAGGTTTTAGACTCAGTAGAACTAAAACTGAGTATATGAGATGTGACTTTGGCACTACTGCTCGGGAGGAGGAAGATATTAGTTTGGAAGGTCAAGTAGTGCCTAGGAAGGATACATTTCGATATTTAGGATCAATGCTACAGAGAGACGGGGATATTGATGAAGATGTTAGCCATAGAATCAAAGCAGGGTGGATGAAGTGGCGCCAAGCATCTGGTGTCCTATGTGACAAAAGGGTACCACGGAAACTAAAAGGCAAGTTTTATAGGACGGCGATTAGACCTGCTATGTTGTATGGTGCAGAATGTTGGCCTACGAAAAGACGACATGTTCAACAGATAAATGTCGTGGAAATGCATATGTTGCGTTGGATTTGCGGTCATACAAGAAGGGATCGAGTTCGAAACGATGATATACGTGTGATAGGGCTAGGATCCCTACCGGAGCGGCTACGCAAGTTGTACGGATGCGAGATGGCTGGACGTGGGTGAGGACGGCGCGAGGGCGCCGTGGCTGCAACTGCCGAGAGAGAGAAAGAAGAGGCGGCTAGGGTTTCACCCGGCTAGGGTTTCTCCCGGCTCCTTGAGGAAGCCGGAAACAATAGTATGTTTCTGCTTAATCTCCCAAATAGAGTCTTACAAATATTTATAGGTCTCTCTAACAGCGATAATTATAAAATAACCCTCTAGCAACACTATAATTGCGACAATTATATGGGCCATAACCCTTTGATGGCCGGCTTCCCTCCTAGCCCTTAGCTGGGCTGCGACGGCTGTAGGGGATGCCGGTCATAACAACGTGATAGATTAGGGGTAGCACCAATTGAAGAAAAGCTTGTCCAACACCGGTTGAGATGGTTTGGACATGTCCAACGGAGACCTCCAGAGGCACCGGTGCGTAGTGGAATCCAAAGCCAGGATAGTAACGTGAAGAGAGGCAGAGGAAGACCGAAGTTGACTTGGTTAGAGGCAATAAAAGGAGACTTGAAAGGATGGAATATACCCAAAGACTTAGCCTTAGATAGGAGTGCTTGGAAAACAGCTATTCACGTGCCTGAATCTTGATTGCTTCTGCTGGGTTTCAACTCTAGCCTACCCCAACTTGTTTGGGACTTAAAGGCTTTGTTGTTGTTGTTGTTGTTGTTGAGCACTAGTTCCTTCGATCAGGAGGCAATGGCACATCTCTGAAGAAAATAAATTGCAATGACCGCAAACAAAAAGTTTATGCTAAAATCGTCCGAACTGGTCAGCCTAACCATGATCAGTATGCCATTAGTTTGTCCGATGCCATGGAATCTAGAACCTGGTCTCCTGGTGACTGACAGGTCCTCAAAGGATAACAATGCTGTTTAAAAATCCCTTATAAAAAAAATGTTGTTTAAAAAACTTGACAAATATCAAAGCGATTTCATTCAAAAAAAGTCATGAGCTCTTGGACAATTGGAACATGAAAGTGGACTATTACACAAAACAATATTTGAGGTTGAGGTACAGTAGGAAGTTTCTCACGCCTGGACATCGTGAAAAAATAGTGCACTACTGAGAAAATGATATATCAGACTATGAGAGTAAAGCTTTATACTGAAAATAGATTGATGTAGGCAGGAAGATTCTCACAGCCTGAACACCATCAGTGTTTCTTCCTATCCTGGTCATCAGCTTCCCATCACTCCATGTACCTGCACCACCCTGTTATGATTAAGAACAGAAGATCAAGAATCGATGGCCTTAAGATTTGAAGGAACATGAACACTGGATTAATTATTTGATCACTCCTTTTAGTACCCAAATGGGTTCTTGATATTCCAAAATCATGTTCCGGGGCCTATCTCATGCCAAAAGTACTACTTGTATCAGACTAAACAAGTATAAGCATATTAAGGGTCCAGATAATGCATAAAAAAGGCAAGACTCATTTAATCAAGAAAGGAGTTCACAAATTGCTAGACTCAATAATTCAGTGTGAGTTGGCTTTAATTGTATGTAAGAAAGTAGTTTAGTGTAGTAAATGTGTGCATGAAAACAGCTTCCCAAAATGGAAAGGTTGTATGAAAGGTTACAACTGAATGTTTTTTTATAATTCATTCAGTTCATCAGGAACATCCTTAAATGATCCATATGTTTTTTTATAATTCATTCAGTTCATCAGGAACATGTATGCCTTCATTTTTCAGATTATTAAATCAACATACATAGCTCATTTTAAATACACTAAATCAACAAATTACCTATTCAAATATTGCTTAACAAAGGCAACTGGCAACTCACCCCACTGATCATTTTGTGATGTCTTAGTAGAAAACTAGGAATCACTAGAATACCTCGCCAAAGCAAAAGTTGCTCTCTGATTGTAGAATTCGCCTAACTGCTAGCGCACCAATGTCACGACCTCTCTGTTCAACAGGCTGACCACGCTCCAATAAGGTAACTTCTGCACCAAATTCACCTAGCACAAGGGAAGCAAACAAGCCAGATGGTCCACTTCCTATAACTGCCACTCGCGGCTTCTTTTGTTGATGATAAATCATACCACTATGAGTATTCCTGATTCCTAGTACATTATTGGAACCTTTGTTATTAACATTGAGCATGCTGACCAGATCAGCTGCTAACTTCTCTTCAGGCATGTATTCTACAGCTCCAAGTTTGGGCTCCAACCGAGCAATAAAATCCCATGCCCTTGGCTCTATATCAAGAATCTTCTTAACATCCATATCAACAATGTAAGTGAACTGAGGTTCTTTCAAAACCTGTAGAAGTCACACATATTTATTATTGATGGTATGAACAAATATATCCATTTTCTGATACTAATAGAAGTAAATACAGTTACAAATGCGGTGCAAACTAATCCAATTTTGTATGATGAATTCCATATAAATATGTCTAGGAAAGGATAAGTACATAGATAAACTAGTTGATTGGACTTTGGAGCAAGCAGATATGACAAAATACTATCACTATTGCAGAAGATCACAATTTTCATAAGACCATAATGTCATTACTATTGCACTCAACAAATTGCTGACATGGGGGATGCCTAGAATGGGTGAATAACTATGAAAAAAGCAAAATGTTGCCTTCCAGTCTGAGTGGGAGCACAGAACCACCAATAGAACGCTGACAACTTAACTGTGGAGATCAGGAGATGCATGGTGAATCTTACTATATTGTTTGTTAACATCATGTCTATTTGCCTATTTGGGCCTTTGTAATCCAATTTATATGAATCGTTTCAGTAGTTTCAACATCAAGCATACATATCCCAATATTAACTAAGATAGAAATGATATCATCCCATGAAGAACCTTTCGTGCGTCGAATGACTTGCGGATGACAGTGAAAGCCTCATCAGGAAGCATAGAAGGAACCTGAAGCACAGCAGAATCAATTAGAGACATAATCACAGCACAAGTCTCGACCACAACAATGACAGCATAAAAGATGAACGCTGTACTATGAAATAATGAGAGAGCAAGGCAGATCCAAGCAGGCGACCATTTGGATTATAAGTTTGTATATGGGTAGTACAACAGTACAACACTCATCCTACCAGTTAACTTACCACATTCATTCTATGCAGGTTCATAATGCAGCCTGGCAATGTTGTCGTTACCTTAAAACATGCAGATGTTAATCCAATTGCAAACCCTACCTTAGAGACAAACCTACATTCGTCAGGAACTATATTTGAACCGATTTCAAAAGGAGGTTTAGCACGAACACAGGGATGGTGCAAGTGGCTACGAAGAGTCAAAGAGTAGATGTCAGTTTAAACTAGCTTAATTCCGGGACAGTTCCTAAAACTCAAGCAAAACAAATTGCATACCACAAGTCTAACTACTTGAAAAAGGTGGCTACCGACAACTTAAGGGATTGTGCACGAGACTAACCTAGGAGGAACGAGGCAGTGTTTCAATATGAAGAAAATAGGCACCCAAATTCAAGTTGAAGAGGACTCGAATCTGGATGGTTGGGTGCATGAACATACATCCCAAACCAACAAGTTAGAAAGATAATAGGCACCCATAGAAATGGATGTTGTTTCTTTTTATTGCTGGTCACTCATGATCGTTGCTGGATGGCTGACCGCCTTGCTCAGTGAGGACTACCACATCCTTCTGCGTGCCGTCACTGTGATTAATCTGTGGAAACAATCAACCATCTTTCGCTATCCTGTGTTTTTGCACGTGAGTTTTGGCTTCAGTTGCTGCAGAAGATTGGTCTCCATTTCTGTGCCACAGCCGGATGATTGCTTTGTTGGAAGAGTGGTGGAACAATTTCTCTTCCGGTGTTAACAATCAATTTCAGAAGGGTGTCAATTCTCTTATTATACTAGGACAGGGGCGGATCCATATTGATCCATGTGGGTGCAGCCGCACCCAGACCAAAATGCAGAATACGTTCTAGTATACAAGTTTCTACCCTATTCGCACCCCTTTGGGCCAAATGTCTGCACCCACAGCCCAGCTTAGCCAACATGCAGCCCAACAAAGCAACGTACCTAGAAGCTAGAACTCCGTTCTGACTCTTCGCCTCTTGTAGCGCCCGACACATCGCCTGCCTTCCCGTGCGCTCTCTTCCCTTCTGCCCTTCTCAGCTTCTCCCACGCGGCCACGCCCCATCACTTACCTCGCGAAGTCGCAAACTCCCGAGGCCAGGCAGCCGTGGCCCGTGGCCGGCCGCGGCTCTACTTTCAATTTTCGATTAATCTAAGTATCTAAATTGGCTTCAATTTCTTGGTTCATGCCTTCTTGATTATTTGTTCATATTCTAGGGTTAGGATGTTTGATTCTTTCTGTGATGAAAATTGGTATTAGTGAAAAAAACTAAAATCTAAATATTCTTGTGGAAGCTAGTTCAAGAGCTTGATAGCTGTTTTAGTGAGACAAGCTCTCAGTTGCTTGTTTGCTCAGCTGCTTTAAATCCAAGAGATTCATTTCATGATTTTAATGTGGAGAGTTTGATGAACCTAGCAAAATTGTATTCTAATGATTTTAGCTCTAGAGATTTCAGGGATCTTAGCCACCAACTTTGCCTCAATATTGCTGATGCGAGAGAGGACAATCGATTCTCCAATATAAATACTATTAGCGATCTTGAGTAATAGACTTATTTGTCATTTGAAGAAAAAAATAATTAATGAAGGTTACAAGATAATGTCATGCACTCATGCTATGAAGTAAGCCCACATGGCTGCACCCCCCTCCATATTTCTCTAGCTCCACCACTGACTAGGAACCTGGACCTTGTGGCTGCACCACAATAGTTGTGTGTTTGATGGGGCATCTCCTAACCTGGCTACAGCTCTTTTGCTCGCTAGTGAGGAGCTGCATTTGTGGGGTTTGGCTGGAGCCATGGAGCGTGAGGCATATCTTATCTCGTTACACTTCAGCCAGACGACCGTGGAGTTTAGGTCGTGGTCGTGTGTTTTTCACTGTAATTAAACTACTGCCCCTGGCTTTTACCCTTTGTGTGGTGTGTGTTTGTAAAGGCTCTTACCCTTTTTCTTCTTAATTCAATGATATGTAGCTCTCCTGCTTCTTCAAGAGAAAAAAAAAATGGAACTGTGCACATGCCAAGAGAAGATACGATCATGTGTTAGCTAAATGGCAGTAACCAAGTTCAGCTACATTTTCTACCAGCATACAAAGTTAAGCATCGTCGAATGCATGAAGTCTCAAGCCTACCATTTTTTTAAGCAAGATGGCAGGCTCAAGCCTACCATTCAACGCACCAAACCTCTCTATGTTTCAGTAAGCTATCGGTGGTTCACTAAAAACCTCGCAATTGCAGGGCATTTCGAATTAAACTGTCCCGACGATTTAAAGCGGTGGTTGATTGATTATCGTACCGGGAACTTGATGGCTTTGGCGATGGCCTGGAGTAGCGGCAGGGAGATGCCGGTGAAGTCCTTGCCTGGGTCGTCGCGGGCGGGGACGGCGAGCTTCGAGAGCCGCCAGTACCCGGACTCCCGCCCCTTGCTCCCCTCCTCCGGGGCCGCCTGGCGTAGCAGCTCCTGTTGTCGCCTGTTCAACCGCTTCTTCTCCGACGGGTACCGCCGCTTCCCCGTGCGCTTCGCGCAGCGCACCACGGCGCCCCACCCGCATCGGCGTGGCCGCGGGAACGAGCTGGTCGCGCCATGGAGGGCGTGGCTAGGGCTCGGGCGCAGAGACTGGGGCAGCGGGAGGGAGAAGGCTGTGAGACTGAGGCTCGAGGCGGAGGCGGCGGTCGCGAACGCCATCGCCATGGCGCGGCCGCGCGAATGATGAGGCTGGATTGGAAGAAGGCAGAGCGCGTGCGCGCCTGTGGATAAGAGTGGGGAAAATTAGGTCAGCCCCATTAAAAGATTCGATCTTTATAAAAATATCGATGACTGTAGAAAAATATCATTAAAAGATTTCTTTGTTTTTGTTATAGGTGGTGTTCGCTGGTTTGGAGAAAACCGGCTGCTTCCTCTCACACGGCACTATTTATGCATTTAGTCAAACAGTGTTTTTCTATCACAACAACCTAGCCAGAACAGTGTTTTTCAGTCAAGTTTCAGACCAGCGAACGGGGTCATAGTTTTTTACATATCCATTAACTCCCACGTTACCTCCAATTGCAGATTCATTTGAGCAGTTTTCACATTTTATTCATAGCAAACATGTAAAAAAAACAGCAAACACTGAACAGCCCTCTAGATCTGATGACCGCAGCATATATGCTGTCGTCTAGTCTAAGCCCCCAGAATATAACACTCATCAAGGATATAACCGAAGTTTCAGTAAGATTTCTCCAGAAATTACACACATATATATAAGACCACAGTACACACACTAAAGTACTATTATACGTTATGTTCGCTTGAGCTTGTTTGGCTGATAAACCATGGCTAAAAGTACTATTAGCTGATTTAGTGTGAAAAAAAAATATTATTCGTTAGCTGAAAAAGTACGGCTTATAAGCCAAAATGAATAGGGTGATAGCTAATTCATCTACTCAATGATGAGCCTCCGATTGATTCCACCACGTGAGGTTGCAACCATCCTTCTAGTTGTTATATCTGGAGCCTGTTCGGCTGGTATTAAAGCCGGCTGAAACTGTTTTGTCGTAAGAGAAAAATACTGTAGATTCTAACTGATAAGCCGGCTGATAAATTCAAGCAAACAGGCCCCTGGGCTAGTTGGAGAAAGGGATGATATCTTTCTAGTTGTTACACCCGGGTGAAAGGTCCTTGTTGGTTTTGGTAATTGAGTGACAACCTAGGTGGACTAATTGTGTTTATGTGAGATACACAGGTGATTAGTCCACAGGTACATGTGTATGAGCAACATATGCCATGGAGGTGAAAATGGCTTGGAGATGTTGTAAAGCTCACGCATGTGATGATAAAGGAGCTTATTGCACATGAGACATGACATTGAGTCATGTGATCAAGGTGGAGAAGATCAAGACAAGACTTGGCTTGATGAACCGGTTGCAAGCGTGAAGGGCAAGTCAAAGGCTTTGGAGTGATGGACCGCGTGGCGGTGAAGCTTGAGCAAGACTTGGCGCCGATGGACGATAGCAACGGTGAAGAGCAAGTAGAGTCAAGATCGATGAACCAATATGATCATGTGATGATATGAAGTGGATCATATCATTGTTGATCATGTTGGTGCATGTGTTGCATCGACATTGAAGGAGATGGAATGGAATGCGCAAGGCAAAGGTATAACCTAGGGCATTTCATTTCACCGGTCATAGGTGTGTAGAGAAGTTTATGACCGGGTTTAGGATAGATGGCCGTACTATCAAGAGGGGCAAACTTGTTTGCATATCGGTCATCTAGTGCCACTCGAGTGATCTAACTTTGCATTGTCGCTAGGATCGAGTGGCGTGGCAAGTTGAGTGGCTAACATCCTTTGGGAAATGTTTGTGAAAATGCTAACACACATACACATGGTGGTGTACACTTGGTGGTGTTGGCACATTTACAAAGGAGGTGGTGTTTGCAGGGGTGAGATGGGTTTGGGTCCTTCTCTCCCTCCTGCTTTGAAAGTTAGTTTCATGGGATTCGCGCTTTCGGAAAATAGAATGCCTATTTTCTATTGCATACGGATGCAAGTTCTTGTGGTTAGCACATTGGAGCAAGGGTGATGAAGTTAGAAGTGAAAACGAAGTTAGTCGCGAAGATCTTTGGCGTCGGTCAACCGACCGGACGCTTTGAATCTGAATGCACCGACGACGCCGGCGGTGCGTCCGGCCAGTGACGATGATGGACGCAGAAAGCCGGAGGTGTGACCGGACGCCGGCTGCGTCCGATCAAAATGTGACCGACGCGCGTCCGGTCGAGGTCGGTACTTCTATCGAAACGGCCGGACGGACGCCGGGGTTGTTGCGTCCGGCCGGTTCATCTGCTGGAGCGTCCGATCGACGATGACCGTTGAGATCCAATGAAAATGCGTTTGAAGGAGGGGGGCGCGTGGCGTGCATCGCGACACGGCCGGACGCCGAGATCCAGCGTCCCATCCATCGAACCAGCGTCCGGTCGTCCCGACCGCTGCCCAAAGGAAGGGTAACGGCTAGTTTAGCCTTTGGGCTATAAATAGAAGTGGCCCTCGGCCATGGCTGGTGTTGAGCACCTCAAAGGACTTAGTGTCCATGCTTGTGAGTGCTTGGGAGCCTCCATCACACACATACTTGATAGCGATCATCCGATTGTGTGAGTGAGCGATTCTAGTGCGATTGCATCGTGAGGTTGCATCGAGTGGCACTAGGTGATCGAGTTGCGAGCCGGTGGTGCTTGTTACTCTTGGAGGTTGCCACCTCCTAGACGGCTTGGTGGTGGTCTCCGTCGAAGCGCAAGAAGCTTGTGCGGCGCCCCGAGAGAAGCTTGTGTGAGGGGCATTGTGCTCACCATGGAGCCGCCAAGAGCAACTCTAGTAAAGCGTGTCATTGAGCTACCCTCACTCAAGGGGTAGGTTCTTGCGGCGCCCGACGTGCGGGCTTAGCGGGTGATGCTAATTAGCCGCCGAACCACCAAGTGAGCGGTCGACACAACGGGGACTAGCGTGTTGGCAAACACGTGAACCTCGGGAGAAAAATCATCGTGTCAACCTTGTTCTTCCCATTGGTTTGCATCCCCATTACACAAGCTCGCAATTACTTATATATATATATATCTTAAGCTTGTGTAGTTGCTCTTGTAATTAGATAGCTTGTGTAGCTAGCTAATTACCTTCTTGCTTGTGTAGCATAGAAGTAGCTTCCTTGCGTGGCTAATTTGGTTTTAGTAACCTTGTTAGTCACATTGCTTAGTTTGTGTAGCTAAGTATTTGCGCTCTCTAATTAGGCGTTGGTTGCCTTGTTATTGAGCATTGCTAGTGAGCTTAGTTAGCTTTGTGCTTTTGCTTACTAGTATGTGTAGGAGCTCCCTTGTTACTTAAAGTACTAGTGGCATAGGTTTGTATGACCTTGCTCCTAGAATTGTTTAGGAGAGCTCTAGCTAGCCCGGCACCTTAGTTGCTTTATTAGTATCTTTGCAAGGTGCTAGTGAACATATATAGAGGGGTGTAGTCTTGGCTAGACCGATTGTTTTAATTCCGCATTTATATCGGTTAGCCGACGCGATTAATTTTAGAAAAGACTATTCACCCCCCTCTAGTCCGCCATCTCGACCCTTCACCGGGCTTGAATGAGGCGTTGGAGAGGGTTCAGCAACGGCTTTGGATGTCCCAGCATCAGTTGTGGAGGCTCCAACAGATTCAGAGTTGTTTATTCTGTGTTTGAAAACTTGGGTTGGTAAAACAATATTTTAAGCACGTAAAAAGAAAATAAAATATTACATTACCTTGTTTTCCTCTTTTTTTTGGACGAGGTGGTGGAAGTTCTTGTTCTAATTTAGCTTGTGTAGCATTACAACCCTTCTCTATATGTCCAAACTGAAAACATATTTTTTCATTGGTATGGTCCTCTTTTTTCTGGCTCTCCTTTAGCCTTTACTCTTTGTGTCCTTGGTCTACCGATAGCCCTTTGTAGTGGTGGAGGAATCATTTCAAAACCAAGAATAGCCTTTGGCCATTCATACTTATCATAGGAGCGCTCTGAAATTGGTAAGCCATCTTGAATCTCTCTACAGAATAGTAATCATGTACAAAGTCCTCAATGTTTAGTTGCCTCACTTTCCCAAATAAGTATATAGCATGAGGGCATGATTTTCTAGACACCTCCCATTGTCCACAGCCACATTCTCTTTTCGTAAGGTCAACTGCATTCTTCCAAGTTTTTCCTTTTTTTGTTGTTCCTAAAATTTCAGCTGACATGTGACCACTTTTGTTGATATCATAGTGCAGCCCTTGACTCTTCGTGTTCAGCTCATGTATCACACTAGGGAGGATGCGCCCTTAAAGTCTGCTGGCTATCTCTTGCCTTGTGTAGATTTTCTCCATGATCTTCTCTCTGATCTTATCCATTAGATCAACAACCGGAAGGTCTTTATATTCCTTAATCCAATTATTAAAGCATTCAGATATGTTATTGTTAACATAATCAACTTTGTATTCTTTGGAGAATTTAGATCTACTCCATATCAACTTGTGATGGTTGTTTAAAAAGGGAATTGCTTTAGGACATTTGGTTCTAATTTTCTCCAACAATGCATCATGCCTTCGAGTTGAACATGCAAAAATTATATCACTCTACAACGAATATTAGATTATAAGATCTAAAGAAAAAATAACAACCATGAATGTGTCGCCACCATGAACTTTCTTTGCAAAAATTCTCCAATCGTAGTTTGCATCTGCACACTGTCGACGAAATATGGTCGGCAGTCCACCGAGGGGGGTGCCCGTGGTGGTAGATTATCGGTAGACGGTGCGTGTAATCAGGAACCAGATGGTGACACAAGGCGCAGAGACAGCGATTTAGACAGGTTCGGGCCATCTGATCGACGTAATACCCTACGTCCTGTGTCTTTGGTGTATTGTATTGAGATGTATGCTGTCTGATCTCTATGGATCTGTCCTCTAGGGGACCCTTGTCTCTCCTTATATACTCCGAAGAGACAAGGTTACAAGTAAAGTATCCAATTTGGTACTATTACAATATCTAGTACAACTTGTAATCTTGATGTGCACGCCTTAATCTTACGGGCCAGGCCACCTCGGATGGTGCGGCCCATGTACCATCTTGTGGTACCCGGGGGTATATCCCCCACAGCTAGTCCCCGAGCGCCATGTATTCTGATGCGACACGCCGTTTCAACCTTCTCCGAACAGTGAGGCTTGAGTTCTTGACATCTCCGACCACCGTTGTCGCCGGAGAAGTAGGTTGTCCGAAGAATGTATGGTGCTCTTAAGAAGAAAGAAAAAGATTTCCGTCCTATGAAGTGTGCCCACTTGTATTTCTGAAAAGAAATGTAAGTGGATCTTGAGGCGTAGCATCCTTGATCATCAGAGGCGTAAGGGTCGAAAAACAAACACATTCACCGTAAGGTGAAGTGTGCCCACTTAGTCCCCGAGCCTGGTAGTAGGTGACGTAGGCACGTGGTGCCAGGGTCTAAAAAGAATTCCCAGTTAAGTTGAGAATCCAATCGTCGTACATGCGATACGAGATGCACCGGCAGGTGCATCGTACCGATGTAGCCCCGAGCTTCTTTGGAAGGCGAGGTATGAGCCTTGTAGCAAGGTCTAAGTGAGAAAAAATATCCCAACTGTATGCGAGTCGCCAGTCGCATGTAGTCGAGACGCAAAGTCCCCGAGCCGTGGTCGGAGAGTGGTCGAGGCAGTCCCCGAGCACAGGTCGAGGAGCGAGCAACGAAGTCCCCAAGCCATGGTCGGAGAGTGGTCGAGGCAGTCCTCGAGCACAGGTCGAGGAGCAAGCGACGAAGTCCCCGAGCCGTGGTCGGAGAGTGGTCTGGCGAGTCCCCGAGCACAAGCGTGGTCTGGCCAGAGTCTCCGAGCACGAGCGTGGTCTGGCCAGAGTCCCCGAGCACGAGCGTGGTCTGGCCAGAGTCCTCGGGCATCGTAGTGGTCTTGGCGAACCCTGAAGCATGAGCTCGCTGACCGAACTGTGTTCCTGAAAAATAAACACAGAGAGCGGTAGTACATGATGATGTACGAAATATATTGATCTCTCTGTAGGAGGTGAAGTAAACGCTTGGTGTTCGGTTGGTGATGAATTATACTTGGTGTAATATTCAAAAAATAACATTAGTTGTTTTTAGCCCTTTTGTTATGTAGTGGCGTGGCGCGATGTATTAACTCGTCTGAAGAATCGCGCCACTGGGTCGACCAACATCTCGTGGCGCGAGGTACGAACGCCGCCAGTGAGAGTGCCGGTGTTACCGGGGAGCGATCGCCGACTACTACGTGGCGCAGAGGGCGGACCCTCATGCATCGCGTGGGGTGGAGCCGAGACGATCTTGGCTCTGCGGGATTCTCAAGCGAAGGAAAACGTATCGACGAACCATTGTAAAAACTTATACATGTTTTGGATTGTATGTATGGAGAAAATTCAACGCGGAGCGCACCCTTAGGGTGGTCGGCGGAGGTGTACGATGATCGAAGAAATTTTCAATTAAAAATAATACTTAGCTTTATTGACGGCCGGTGGGTGTAGTCGACGTGTTGCGATGTTCGAGAGATGGCTTGACGTGTCGTTGGCGATGAAGTTGTCCGGTCCTCGAGCTTTTCGACATGTCGTCATGACTGTGGTCGCGATTGTCGTAGCGCCGTTCTTCGCGGCGATCATCATTGCGACGTAGTCTTGTGGTCGAGGTGGTCGGAGCTCGACGGAGCTGCTCGGGACGTGGTCGACGTGGTCCGTGGTCGACGTGGTCGGAGCTCAACGGAGCTGCTCGGGACGTGGTCGACGTGGTCGCGGTCGACGTGGTCGGAGCTCGGCGGAGCTGCTCGGGACGTGGTCGACGTGGTCGCGGTCGACGTGGTCGGAACTCAGCGTGGCTTGCTTAGCGGCTCGCTCTGCGGCTCGGCATGGCTCGCTTGATGCAGACGGACGGAATCCACTATTGGACTTGGACTCGGAACTGCTTTTCCTTGAAGCGTTGATCCACCGTATTTGGAGATTGGATTTGACGGAACAGGGAAGCATAAGGAAGCATGGAAAAATTATGCCTTGCATGCCTGACATAAATATCTTTATTATTTCCTTAATTAGCTTTCTTGCTTGGCATCTTCTTCACGTCACGGTGATGTAGACCACACATAACTTGCTTGCTTGCATGTCTGACGGAAGCCTTGCATGGTGGTGTAGATATATCATCACGTGATGGCATAACAGTGCTTTTAAGTCTTCGTCGTAGTTGCTGATAGGCGAATCTTTACGAGGGATGCATCTCGTTCTTCAATGGGCCGAGGCTCCCGTGTCGCATCCTTTCAATCGAGTGATGACGCGCGCGCGTGGGTGGCCACCGATAATAATCTTCGTGCCTATTTGAGGCATGCAACACCGCTGATGGATCTCGGCGTGTAGATGCGTTCATTCTCGCGGAAGTCAAACTCCATAGCAGAACTTGATCCATCTAATTGTTGTGGGAGACGTGTTGACGCAGGAGTCCGGAAGTTACATTGTGTGCGACCACGAGTTGCTTCGGACACCGAGTCCGAGGTCGTCGACGACGACGAGCGGATCACGATGCACAATGTCGAGGGACACCGGTCGCCGCCGACGTTATTGATCTTGAGGTCGCCACCGGTTCATTGGAAGATCAAGACGCACAACCCCTACAGCGCGCCACCGTCGACGAAAATATGGTCGGCGATCCACCGAGGGGGTGCCCATGGTGGTAGATTATCGGTGAGCGGTGCGTGTAATCGGGAACCGATGGTGACACAAGGCGCAGAGATGATGATTTAGACGAGTTCGGTCCGTCCGATCGACGTAATACCCTACGTCCCCGTGTCTTTGGTGTATTGTATTGAGATGTATGCTGTCTGATCTCTATGGATCTGTCCTCTAGGGGACCCTTGTCTCTCCTTATATACTCCGAAGAGACAAGGTTACAAGTAAAGTATCCAATTTGGTACTATTACAATATCTAGTACAACTTGTAATCTTGATGTGCACGCCTTAATCTTACGGGCCAGGCCACCTCGGATGGTGCGGCCCATGTACCATCTTGTGGTACCCGGGGGTATATCCCCCACACACACCTTGCTATGTACCTCTCTTTGCCACCATGAACTCATTTTTTATGGCATATGTCCTCAAGGTCATGATGAACTCGTCCTTGTCTCTAAATGTATCTCCTTCATTAATAACCGGATTCTTTTTGTCATGTGTTGTGAAAGGTACAGCATAATCATCTATCATAGTAGCCTCATCATCATGAACACGTTCAGAATCGAAGTCTAGAACAGACCTTGCCCTCTTTCTTTTCTGCACCTCTACTTTAATATTTTTCTGTTGGCTGTGTATCATTAACGGCAACATCAACTGGTTTGAAGTATCTCCACTTTTCATCTACTCCGGTTGGCTCATCCCCATCAGGGTCACACCCAACAGTCATGAAGTGCTCCTTCTCCTCCTCTTCAGGCATTGGTGGCTCTGCTATGGTTTCTCCATATTGTGGTACTTCTACCCATTCAAATCCCTCAAATTCCATCTTCTTCTTAACAACTGGCACTTCATTAGGAATGCCCTCGCAATCCATGTTCACTGCAGGAGGCATCTCATCCCCCTCCACACGACTGTCCACTATCATCATAAATTCCACCAATTGAGATGCCCTTAGCAAGCTGCGAAGCTGACCATCTGAAATTAACTTGCATGTCCAATGCATCCCTTTTACAACCCAGAAATTTGCTTGCTGGTTGCTATCCTATGTAAAGTGCGAAGCAATATCCTTCTCTAGATTAATGACTGAATACTTTTCTGAATCAACAACCCAGCTTACATCTCTGCCCCTATTGTAGACCTTTTTACCATGTATAGTACTGAAGTATGAGTTCACAGTGACCTCTACTCTACAAGCATTCTTTGGATTAATCCTGTGATATGCAACCCGAAACACATGTGAAAGGGTCGAGATGACGACTAGAGGGGGGTGAATAGTCCTTTCTAAAATTAATCGCGTCAGCTAATCGATATAAATGCGGAATTAAAACAATCGGTCTAGCCAAGACTACACCCCTCTATATATGTTTACTAGCATCTTGCTAAGATACCAATTATGTAACAAAGGTGCCGGGCTATCTAGAGCTCTCCTAAATAATTCTAAGAGCAAGGTTACACAAACCTATGCCACTAGTATTTTAAGCAACAAGAGAGCTCCTACACATGCTAGTAGGCAAAAGCACAAAGCTAACTATGCTCACTAGCAATGCTCAATAACAAGGCAACCAATGCCTAATTAGAGAACATAAGAACTTAGCTACACAAACTAAGCAATGTGACTAACAAGGTTACTAAAACCAAATTAGCCACGTGAAAGCTCTAGTTTGGTTTTGGTAAATTGATGAAACCCTAAGTGCTAACCTAGTTCATCAAGTGATCATGAGATAGGTAGCACACTTCAAGTAGAGAAGCAAATAAAGATCATAACATGACAATGGTGGTAGCATGGAGATGATCAAGGGCTTAAACTTGAAGAGAAGAAAGAGAAAAACAAAAAGCTCAAGGTAAAGGTATAACTTGTAGGAGCTATTTTATTTTGGTGATCAAGACACTTAGAGAGTGTGATCACATTTAGGTTTGATAGCCGTACTATTAAGAGGGGTGAAACTCGTATCGGAATGCGGTTATCAAAGTGCCGCTAGATGCTCTAACTCATTGCATATGCATTTAGGATCTAGTGGAGTGCTAACACCCTTGATAATATTTGTGTAAATATGCTACCACATGTGCACAAGGTGTTTGTAGGGTTGAGATGGGTTTGGGTCCCACATTCGGCGCTTTCGGGAAAATGAAATGTCTATTTTCTATTGCGCCGGATGCAAAATTCTTGGTGGTTGGCATACTTGAGCAAGGGTGAAGAAGTAAGAGTTGAAATGGAGTTGATTGAAATGATGCTGGCATCGGTCTACTGACCGGACGCTGGGTCACTCAGCGACCGGACGCTGAAAGGCTGCGTCCGGTCGAGCTGTCAGGCGACACAGTGGCTAGGGTTGAGCACCGGACGCTGGCTGCGTCCGGTCAAGGTGGACCGGACGCGTCCGGTCGAAAAAACATGCCTCGGGGAGCTTACTGAAAATGACCGGACGCTGGGGCTTCAGCGTCCGGTCAGTTTTACCAGAGCGTCCGGTCAGCTTCGCAGCCGTTGAAATCTGACGAACAGCGTTTGAAGCTGGTGACACGTGGCGTCCATCGGGCGACCGGACGCTGAGGGCCAGCGTCCGGTCAGTATGACCGGAGCGTCCGGTCAGAGCGCGTTTTGCCCAGTGAAGGGGTATAACGGCTCTATTTGATTGGGGCTCTATTTAAGCCCCATGGCCGGCTGTGGCTCATATCTTTGGCCATTTTCATTGACATAGCAACCTTATGAGCCTAGCCAAAGTTCTCCCACTCATTTCCATCATAGATTAAACATCTTTGTGAGATTGGGAGAGAATCCAAGTGCATTGCTTGAGTGGTTGCATCTAGAGGCACTTGGTGATTGTGTTTCGCTGCGGATTTCGCTTGTTACTCTTGGTGGTTGCCGCCACCTAGACGGCTTGGAGCAGCAAGGATCGTTGAGTGGAGGAGGTGATTGTCTCCGACTCCGATCGTGGTGATTGTGAAGGGTTCTTGACCTTTCCCCGGTGGAGCGCCAAAAGGTACTCTAGTAAATTGCTTGTGGCTTGTGTGATCCTCATCTTGTGTTGGTTGTGCGGCACCCTATTGAGGGTTTGGCGAGTGATGCCAATCAGCGCGTGAACCTCCAAGTGAGTGAATCGCCACAACGAGGACTAGCTTACCGGCAAGCAAGTGAACCTCGGTAAAAATCATTGTGTTTATCATTTGATTTCGAGGTGATTGGTCTACATTGGTATTCATTATTGTGATTGATTGGTTCCTACCACTACACGGCGGTATAACTCTCTTGCTCACTCTTACATTACCGTAAACTAGTTATCAAGCTCTTTAGTGTAGCTAGTTGTGAGAGCTTGTTTGTTTGATTAGTGTTACTCTTTAGTTAGTCTTTGAGAGCACACTAATTTAGCTAAGTGTCATAGCTATTGTGTGGATATACACTATTCGAAATAGAATTGTGGTAGGTGGCTTGCATTTTAGTAAGCTAGCGCAACACTCGCTTCGCCGCAAAATTGTCTAACACATTTTGTTAAGTGTTGTTGTAGATTTTTATTAGGCTATTCACCCCCCTCTAGCCATTAGGACCTTTCACCACGCAAGGGAGCTACTTCTATGCTACACAAGCAAGAAGGTAATTAGCAAGCTACACAAGCTATCTAATTACAAGAGCAACTACACAAGCTTAATATGTATAAAAGTAATTGCAAGCTTATGTAATGGGGATGCAAACCAACAGGAAGAACAAGGTTGACACGATGATTTTTCTCCCGAGGTTCACGTGTTTGCCAACACGCTAGTCCCCGTTGTGTCGACCGCTCACTTGGTGGTTCGGCGGCGAATTAGCATCACCCGCTAAGCCCGCACGTCGGGCGCCGCAAGAACCTACCCCTTGAGTGAGGGTAGCTCAATGACACGCTTTACTAGAGTTGCTCTTCGCGGCTCCCGCGGGACGAGCACAATGCTCCTCACAAGCACTTCTCCGGAGCGCCGCACAAGCTTCTTGCGGGCTTCGACGGAGACCACCACCAAGCCATCTAGGAGGTGGCAACCTCCAAGAGTAACAAGCACCATCGGCTTGCAACTCGATCACCTAGTGCCACTCGATGCAACCTCACGATGCAATCGCACTAGAATCGTTCACTCACACAATCGAATGATCACTATCAAGTATATGTGTGATGGAGGGCTCCCAAGCACTCACAAGCATGGACACTAATTCCCCTTAGGTGCTCAGCACAAGCCATGGCCGAGGGCCTCTTCTATTTATAGCCCCAAGGGCTAAACTAGCCGTTACTCCTTCACTGGGCGTTTTTCGGGCTAACCGGACGCTGCACCGGACGCAGCACCGGACGCACCGATCGTGTATACCGGATGTGTCCGGTCGCTATACCGGACGTGTCCGGTAGCGCCTGACCGCCACGTGTCCCATTCAAACTAGCCGTTGCCACAACGGCTCTCTGACATGTCCGACCGGACGCTCACACCATAGTAGAAGCAGACATGACCGGACGCTGAGCCGCTGCGTCCGGTCGAGTCCAGTAAGCACCCAGGTCCGACCGAACGCGTCCGATCACCCATGACCGAACTCTGCCAGCGTCCGGTCGACCGTTCTTAGAACTTCGACCATGCAGATTCACACCGGACACGTCCGGTGAGGCGACTGGACGCGTCCGGTCGCTGAGTTCGCCTGTTAATACCGGACGTGTCCGGTCACCATACCGGACGCGTCCGGTCACTTTCTGACCAACGCGACTCACTCCTTTTCTTCGCCAAGTTGTTCCACATCAACTCCAACATCATCTCCTTTGTAAATGTGCCAACACCATCAAGAATTTGCATCCGGCGCAATAGAAAATAGGCATTCTATTTTCCCGAAAGCGCCGAATCCCGCCGAGCAAGCTCGGCGGAAGGGAGAGAGGGACCCAAACCCATCTCAACCCTGCAAACACCACCTCGTGTATGTGTGTTAGCTTTTCACAATCATTTCCCAAAGGGTTAGCCATTCATCTTGCCACGCCACTCAATCCTAGCGACGATGCAAAGTTAGATCACTCGAGTGGCACTTAGATGACCGATATGCAAATAAGTTTGCTCCTCTTGATAGTACGGCCATCTATCCTAAACCCGGTCATAAACTTCTTTACACACCTATGACCGGTGAAATGAAATGCCCTAGGTTATACCTTTGCCTTGCGCATTCCATTCCATCTCCTTCAATGTCGATGCAACACATGCACCAACACGATCAACAATGATATGATCCACTTCATATCATCACGTGATCATATTGGTTCATTGATCTTGACTTCGCTTACTCTTCACCGTTGCCATCGTCCATCAGCGCCAAGTCTTGCTCAAGCTTCACCGTCATGCGGTCCATCACTCCAAAGCCTCCGACTTGCCCTTCACGCTTGCAACCGGTCCATCAAGCCAAGTCTTGTCTTGATCTTCTCCACCTTGATCACATGACTCAATGTCATGTCTCATGTGCAACAAGCTCCTTCATCATCACATGTGTGAGCTTTACAACATCTCCAAGCCATTTTCACCTTCATGGCATATGTTGCTTACACATATATACTTGTGGACTAATCACCTGTGTATCTCACATAAACACAATTAGTCCACCTAAGTTGTCACTCAATTACCAAAACCAAACAAGGACCTTTCAACATGGAACACAGGGGAAAAAGTAAGGCCCAATTCACAAAAAAATCAGGTCCTCATTCAGTACGTTCACATAGCCATGTGCACACAAAAATAGGGAAAATACCAGCAAAATAGATACAAATTGGAAGAATATAGCGTGTGTCCAAGGAAATTACCCTTCTGGAATTTCAATAGCGTCCATCTTCACTCAAATCCTCAATCCCTTTCACAGCACTACAGAATCCCCAATACCTAGGGTTCAAACCATGAAAGAAGAGCACAAGAAGAATGGAGAACAAGGAAAAAATAGATGGAGAGGGGCGCACCATGGGGGATAAGCCTGAGAAGTCGCTGCCGTTGTCGCCGAGGGGAGGAGCGTCGCCGCCGAGGGGACGAGGGGCCGCCGCCGAGGGGAAGAGCCCCACTGGAGGTCGCGACCAGGTGCTATCGTGCTTTCCTCAGCAGGTTGGGTGCGTTTGGGCCAGCCGATCAGGGACCAGGACATGTCAGTGCTTTCAAGTTGGATCCGATTTTTTTCCTCCAGCTAACGTGAAGTTAACGGAATGCTAAAAGGCTACAACGGAGGAACCTTTCAATGGTATTTTTCTACAGTTCAATCTTTCAATGGTATTTTTCTAAAGATCGGATCTTTTAATAGTACTGGGCTAATTTTCCCATAAGAGTGGGTTTTAGACTAGAGATGTATTCCAGGTCATATACGAGGCCGCATGTTCATTTGAACACTCAAATTTATGCAAAGTGAAAATCAAAATGTAATAGGTCTTCTGATGTATCGAAAGACGCAGCCTGGGTAGGGCAAATATATTGTTATTGCAAATTATAAAAGACAACATATTATGTGCAAATCAACCAACTTGTGTAAACTTAAAAACTACCAATCGGGACCACTGGATACTGATCCAATGAATAGGGTGATGAGGCTTAAACGCAAAAAAAATGATGACGGGTGGAGGCTTAAGCACAAAAAGAATCCCACCTCTCACCCCATTCATTGGATCAACATTTAGTGATGCTGATCGGTAGTTTTCAAGTTTACACATGTTAGTTAGTTTACACTTGATACGTTGCCATTATAAAACGGCTTCCTTCACAATAAATATAATCCGTAACGAAGTTCGTCGAACATTTTTCACTAATCTAGGGATAATAGTGCACACAACACATTCGAAATTCAAGAGCGAGGCATCAACTAATCATTAAAACACATCATTATATTTATATATACTACTATACTAGTACAAAGTTGTTTTCAGTTATAGTCTTCCCTCATCAACTGTTACATTTTCCAGCTCCGCAATCAAAGAGTATTACAGGATCATACCCCATAAAGAGGTGAGTATAAGAACTCAGACTACATAGAAGCACAAACCTCATGGGTTAAGGTTGAACTTGCAGAACATTTAGCCAGTCCCCACTACAAACCTTCGACAAACTCAAATTACCTCAGGCCGAGTGCAAGTCTTAAAAGTCTATTTCCATTGTTAGCAAGCAACGCCACATGACTGTATTCATCTACCTCCAATGCATCAGATTCCCCAAACTATCTAGCCACTCATGAACCAAAAAGCTGCACTGGCCCCAAGGTTAGTTCACAAGGTGGGGGCTGGCCCTCTTGAAAGGAAGTGTGCACGAGTAAGTCACGTATCTGACACCATCAAGCAGTACGACGACAAATATCCTGGAGAGGGGTTTTGGTGATACTCTTGGGTCACCATCCCCATTGCCAGCCTCCCTGGGATCAGCTAGTACAGAGACGATAACTGATGATGCTGGCTTGCTATCTGGTACCTTGCTGCTTTCAGAAGTGCTGTTAAAAGACTGAGGCTTTGTGTTGTTCACCGTTTTTCCAGTGAGTGGAATCGCCTCATTATACATGATCCTCCTGTTTTTCAGCTTGCCCCCATAAGCAGGAGCAGGCTTCGGAATTTTCTGGGTAGTATTGACACTTGAGGAGTTCACAGTTGGAGAAGCAGGTACAATGCCACCAGATTTGGCCGAAGCTGCGGAAATATCGAACTGGAATACCTCACTGCACATTCCCGAGTTCAAAACGGGTCCTGAAAATTGTTACACACAAATCCCAGAGTAAGACACTATGGATAAATACTCAAGGAGTATCAAATCTCAACCAGACAGTTGGAGATTCTGACAAGAAATGTTTGCCAAAAATCTGGATATTCTGGAATGCCTACTAAACATTACCGAAATATCAAAAAAATGAACACAGATTTTATCGTTGAGAGTTCCAATTTGTTGCCTCTTCTCATTTTATCAGGAAAAGCAACCACTAGAATTAAATCTCTGATCAAAGACAGCAAACTTCAGATTTGAGGTCAAAAACTATCTCCTAAGATGCAGAAACTTTACTTCCAAGTTTGAACTTTGAACTAGGCTTAAAGCTTGTAAGATTTTGTGAGCATAGGCTGCAAATTTAAGCATGCACTGTTTGCAACCTCAGAAATGGATGAAGAGAGCAGGATCAGCATACAAAGATCACCCCATCCAAGTTGAAATTTCCTTACTGCCATTGTACATGGCCACAGAAGTTATATAATCAAGCAATAACAACACACAAGTTCTTATGAGTCCATATGGCATGGTCATCACAATTATAGATACCCCCCTCCCCCCTAAAAGAAAGATACCTCAAGTATGGACATAGTTCCATTTTCTTGCCACGCTACCATGTCATGTTAATAGCTGGCAACTTATACTCCCTCAAGTCGCAATAGATGACGTTTTGGACAGCAAAATGTAACTAATTACAAGTCAACTCTGTTGTCCAACCAAAACGTCCTTTAATTATGATTCAAGGTGGTAGCTTTATTTCCCAATCTAACTTGCTTTTACGTGTTTTCTACAAATCACTTGCTCAAACTTACCATTTAGATTCGTATTTTTAATTGGTGAAGTTCTAAATTTTATATTATATACACATCACATAAGAGGATGTCTGAATGCTAGACATGGTTGGGCGTACCCAGTGCAGAGAGCTCCCGCTCTGTGCGGGGTCTGGGGAAGGGTGTCAGTGGCAAGCCTTACCCTCGCCTGTGCAATGCGAGGAGACCGCAACTCGAACCCGGGACCTTCCGGTCACAGGCGGTAAGACTCTACCGCTTGCATGAATTTCATGGTGAATGTGCTACCACAAATAAACAAAGAATATGACATTGCTAAACAAATTAAACATCAACGTGCTTACCTTCCATTCCTTCACGAAACCACTGTGGCATTGGTGTATCTGGCGGGAACGTCTCTTTTGAATTCATATCCTTTCCAGGTGGGGACAGATAGCGAGCTATAGCAACACTGGTATCCTTACGATCTTTAACTGACTGACCATTTGAGGCCTTATGTGCCACTGCTTTCTCACTTGCAAGCACAGAATGAATAATCAAATTGCCATTGATCTTAACATGTTTTCCATTCCTCGGCACATACAACAAAGCAGGCAAGATCTCACTGGAGTTATTTGCAGATTGATGCTTCTGCCCCACTCCATCAGCATGCCCAGTAATCATTCCAGGATCAGTACTAATCATGTCACTACTGTTCAAACCACCTTTAGGTCCTTTACCATGGTTAGTGACACTAAACACCCTAGCATCAGCATGGCCAAAATTTCCAAGCATCACATTGTCGCTCCTTCCTCTCAATCCAAGACTATGATTGAACCCAGGAACAAAAGCACCAAAGACAAGTGCAACAAACAGCAAACCAAGAAGGCTAATACTTGCCACCTTCTTGGTCTTGGTCTTGGTTTTACTCTTGCTCTCCACAGACTTCTTGACCTCCGGTTTCTTGGATACCTTCCCTGCAGCTGCTGCCTGCTGTGGCTTCAATCGTGGGATTGGCACAAGTGGGACATGGGAGCCATGAGGCCGCATTGCATACCCAGGAACCCAGGGGAAATGAATGCCCGGCAGTGGTGGCGGTGGATACACCCCAGGTGGCGGGCCACTCACCCCGGCACCACCGAGTTTCTGCCTCAGTGTGGCGTTCTCGGCCGCGATGAAGGAGATCTTAGAATTGAGGTCATTTATCACCGAGTGCATCGATTTCACCTTCTCCTCCAGCTCCTCGACGTACCGCTTCTTCCTCTGCCGAGAGAGCTGCGCGCTCTCGCGGTTCCGCATCAGGCGCGCAGTCCGGCGCTTGTCCTCTTCCTCGCCGCCCGCGCACCTCTCGTCGGAGTCCTCCGCGACGGCACGCGACGCCGATGCAGACGGGGAAAGCTCCCCATCGCCGGATCGGCGGCACTTGGCCCCGTCCGAGGTCGCTCCTCCGGGACTCGCCTGCTTCCGCTTGAGGCTCCAGTTCGGGGCGGCGCCGCTCCTTCCCTCGTCCAAGTCCTCGTGCTTCACCTCGCGGACGCCGGCGTTGGCCACAGCGGAGTTGGCGCCGGAGGTGGCCGGGGAGGACGCGGCGGGGCCGGATCCGGCGGCGGAGCCCTCGCCGGAGTCGTCGCCGTCGTCCCCGCGGTCGGGGGACCGGAGGAGGAAGTCGTCGATAGAGAAATCTACGGGCAGGTCGAACTCCAGGCCATCGCAGCCGTCGTCGCCGGCGAATTCGCCAAGCGGGAGGCCACCGGCGGCGAGGGGGAGGTCCGGGTCGAAGAGGTGTGCCGGGTAGTGGCGGAGATCGAAGGGGGAGGGGTCCAGGAGCGCCGGCTCCGCCATGGCTGCCGCCGCGTCACGAGGAACAGGACGGGGAGAGGCGGGGTTCGCGCTAGGGTTTTGGCATCGTCGAGGTGTAGGCACGGGAGGAAGGAGCGGGGTGCTTTGGAATGGAAGTCACGGGTACGGAGTGCGGACGGAGTCGGGGGTTGACGAGCGCTCGTGCTCGGGACGTGCCACTTCCCGATCCGGTCTTCCTGCTCGAAGTTTACCCGAACGTAGCATTTCTTTCCAAGTGACAAGAGGGACCTACACTTGGTGGCTGCGTGGGTAGCAGCTAGATCTGGACTTGCTACTGTTGGGCACTGGCGGCTTGGCGTGCTGAAAGCGCTTTAAGCATGAGTAACGGAGAAGTTAAGATGCCTGGGACTGTGTGCGCTGGCGTGTGGGGTCATGGTCTGGATAGTGTTAGGTCAGAGGACGTGGGTATAGATAGGATCGGTTAGAAAAGTTCACAGGGTCTGTTCGTGAAGGTTCCGGTGGGGCGGGTCAGTGGTGCAGCGAATGTGACGATCTGGATAGGTAATTTTAGTGATTTTTGGGAATTTTTTACATATCCATCCTTTGACATTAGCTGATTTCCGGTTGCCTCTTCGCTCTTGAGTCGTCTCTACTCTTTTAGGGAAACCACGTTACTAGTTTATCGTAGTCTATCTATAACAGGAACGTCTAAAATACAGGACTTATTCGGTTTTTGATAGCGCTACAGGTAAAAGGTTCAATACTTATTCGGCATCTTCTTCAATAACAAGATCTAAAAAAGAATTCTTTCTGCAAATAAGTTTCTAGAAAAGAGAATGCCTATATTTGGTTTGTGCCTCTCAGGCAACCCAAAATAGGTCTCCCGTATAGGTACTCTATTTAAGACTGATTTTGAGTCTCTTACTACCGATTTTAGATTTAAGTGCTCATATGTGTTTCTTATCGGAGACTGTCTTAGTGGTCTCGTATGCATAGTTATGTTGGATTTTTTATGATATAGATGGAAAAGAGAAAAAACAAAATAAAAATATTGTTATTTCATTAAATAACCATTCATAGCCTAAATTTTATAATTATGAGACAGCTTCTTCGCCATTGTATGTTTGTTGTTATCATGCATCTCAATATTTCTTTGTTCCTATTTTTTTCTCGAATACGTAAAAGGTTTGCGCATCTTTATATTAAGATCGAGAAATAGTAAAAGTTACAACGACGCGCCACGAACATGGCACACTAGAGTGGGGCACTAGTGTTATACAATCGGCTCTGTCCTCCCTAGCATAAGAAGCTCATGGGCTATTACTCGCTAATCATACTGCATAGCCATCATCGGCGCGATCGTCCTCGAACGCTGAACCGGGCGCACTGGTGTGCTTGGCGGCTTCATCGCTTCTCCTTGTGGGTCTAGGAAGAGTCGACGTTCATTGCCTCAAAGATGTGAGGGGTTGAGCAACTTTGGTCGTGAAGATCTTTGTCGTGGGCGTCCGTGGACACCGTGGAAGGCCTCGTCTGCCCGTCAAGAAAACCCATCCGCTTCATCACCAAAGACTCTATCCCCACTTCAAAGCCGGACACGTGAAAGCGCTGGCGACAATTCTTCTCCGCCGAGTCAGATTGAATCTTGCAGCTACATCCGAGTAGGATGTGTACTCGTCCATGCCCGCCGAAATTCATTTCATTCTAAGCATAAATTTAAAATATGTGAGTTAATACGGTTGCGCGAGTTGGCAACTTTGGTTGTGCCTCCACATCATCCAATATACTGGCAACAGCGGGCCTCCAATCGATGCGACACCTTACATAGGATCTTTATCCCACTGTATAGCGTGAACCGCTTTAACCTCGTGGTGGCGATCGAGGGCTCCGTGCGCCCTCGAGAGGTGTGGTTGTGTCAACGGTCAACCAATAAATGGCATTGGGGCTTTATGGGCGCGCCTAGTTTCATATCAACGATGGCGGTCAAAATCCCCCTCTTTTTTACGTGGCAGGGGGGGTGATCTAGCGTCCCTCGCTAATCTAGAGGTATGTTGTTGGAGCATACGTCTGCCACCACTGTGCGTGTCCCGCCCATCGTTTTTTAAATGATGGGTGACCGCCGCTTGCTTCATGCAGCGACAAAACAGAGGCGAGCTCGTCGTCCAAGCCTTCAAGGGAGAAGTGGTGTGCACCAGCGACGCTTCCTCATCCTGAGGAGTAGTCGACGTGGCGGGCGGTGGCCGGCTCATGACGTGCGAGGCAGCGAACTCCTCCAACATTGGGTCGACCCACTCGTGAGGTCCGTGCTACGCGCACACTACTCAACAAACTTTTAAAGTGTTCAATGACGCTATTGATGGCACATGGAGGTGGTGTGCGGCCTAAGAGCCAAATGTAGTAGCGTTCTTCATGGGCTTGTCACGGCATAGGCCCGTCCATGCTTATTGTCGCTCGCCGACTTGTTTGGATACTTGCTCTAAGCCTTGCCACTTCTCAAGGCGCCACCGATATTTTTGCACCCACTTCACCGACGACCGAACTCATCGGGCCACCATGGGGCGTGTGCTGGGGCCGGTGGCTCTTCTCCATGAGGAAAGCCACCCTTCGCCTTCGTTGCCATAGTAGACCTAATCCGCTGCAGCCCGCTCGGATGCGAGGTGGGCGGTGGTCTGGTGAAGCCGATGGCCGGACTGAAAAACACGGCCCGAATCGACAACGTCGTGGCAACCGGCAAGTCGCTACTCTAAGAGAGTAGGAGAAGCAGTTGAAACATCTATCGCGATCAGCTCCTGACTTGCAGGGATCCTCCGTCAATTGCTGGGATCGGCGTCTAGCTAATCGTCGCTTTGCTTCGCGAAGTTCAACAAGTTCAAATCATTGCCATTTGCCAAGGTAAAGGATCGCCTCATGGCGGCTCAGCGAGCCAACGCGGCGCCTCGTCTTTAGCTCCTTCGCATTTTTAGGTGCCTTGTCGTCAAGAAGGATCTCTCGCCACCCATCAACGTTGGGAGCGAGACGCTAAGGACCTCTTTGGCGAATTGAGCGCGAAGTTTCGCGTTGGGCTGGTGGCTTTGACAGTGAGGAAGAAGGAGAAAGGAAAATGGCCCATGCACAGTATTGACCTCCGAGAGGCATGCCGCCACACTAGAACTTTTTCCCAACACAATTATTATGGCATTGCGGGGTGACGAAAAAGATTTAGCGGTGTAGAACCTCTATAGATGCCTCCGCTTTCTTCTTTGTCCCGTTACGACCTTATAGGATTTAGTAAAATGATCCGCCGCCATGGTCAGTTTATTCTATTTCATGAATCAATTTTTGTAAAAAGTAAAAATGAAAATATAACACATCACCGCATTTATCGAAGCAAACACTCCATTAAACTTTTGAAGTTTTCTCTAATAAATACACTAAAAAGGTGCCTCGTATATGATTTTCATCAAGGAAAATAGTTGATATTACAAATGATGAACTACTGGACATAAAACGACCATTAAAACAAGAGGTAATCAAAAATCAATCTGGGCAGCTTCTTTCTTCCAGGGTTGACACAACATGTATCATCTTAAGCACTCATGAAGCCTAAATGGTAGAGAATAATGTAGGATGTGGGTGGTCCCGCCCACCCATACGATGGTTTCTACATTCGTGTATCGTGTTTCTTGCTTTGTTGGGAAAAAAATCATTTCATTCTAAGCATAAATTTAAAATATGTGAGTTAATACGGTGTAATCAAAAGACAACTTATTATCTATAAGTTGTTCGATAAGTTGACTTAAAATTACATGACATTATTATAGGAGATCATGTATGAGATAAAACTAATGTACTCCCTCAGTTCCATTATATATATTGTTTTTTTTTAATGCACTCAGATATACATTTGTCTATATATATATAGTAAAATAAATATATCTAGAAAAGTCAAAACGTCTTAAAATTTAGAACGGATGGAGTACTTACCCTCGGTTGAATCTTGCAGCTAGTACGTTTAAATTCCTTTTTTAAAATTTAGGGAACATACGTACTACATATGTCCATTCTGCTTGCCGTTCTATACCACTAATAAGAAACTAACCGCACAACCGGCCTGCCGTCCGTGGGGGAATGAATAATTTTGTAATAAAAAAAATCTAAAAGAGGTCTCATGGGCTGAGGTATTCAGTGAAAATAGCCACTGTAAGTGCTCCCTGTATATCAGAGATCTATCTCATCTCTGTAAGGGTTTCAAAAATAGTTCTTTTTCTTTGCTCTGTTGGACACTGCCTTGAATAGGTGTGGCACAAGTAGAGCCAAACTCTAACAATGCAACCATTTATCGGTCCAGAAAGACATGTTCCTCCCATTCCCAACTTTTGAGATAATGACCATAGAGAAGAAAGCCTTGGCGAGGGGTGTACTTGGATGGGGAAGGCTATCCATGGTCGATATGGTTCTGTTTTTTAGTCATAGCCAACACATCTGTAATGCTCATCAATTCGAAGATGAGAGATACCAAGCCCTCCAGATTTAATTGGTGAGTAACTTCAGTCCAAGCCACCAAAAGTTGACCACCATTAGCTTCTTTTCTTCCTTTCCAAGGAAATATCCTTCGAATTTTATCAACAATAGATCTCTTATATTAAATCTACTATAAGTTGCTTTAAGGGAGTATCCTAAAATCAATTTAAGATATAGAGTATTGCTGCAGTAGATTAACTAAAACTTATCTCCTATATTTCTCTGGGGATAAGGGAGTGAGGTTGCCTCCTTTGTTTAGAAGGAAGGATGCTTGGTTGCTTCCTTTGTTTAGAAGAAATGATGTTTCTTTTAGTAGATCTTTTAAAAATTATAGGTATAGAAGATGAGATATGATTTGTTGCAACACCTATATGATCTATATCTCTAAAATACTATTTTTTAGATATATAGAAAATTAGATAGGATATCTGGTGAAGATGTTCTTATACCTCCTTTGACATATCGGTGGAAATAATATTGCCACGCTGCACTTTCCGCACCGGTGATCAGCGCAAGCTCGTGTTCAGCAAAATCAGAAACATAAATAAATAAAAGAAAAATGGCGAAACGTCAGAATAACCATGTTCAGACTTGCGTGTGAATCGGAAATCGCCACGGCCCACGCCGTGTACAAAAAGAATCCGCGGCATTTCCCCCAAGAGGTACTCCGGGCCGCCTGATCTCACACGGAACGCTTAGGATCGTGACCGGCCTCCGGTTACCGATTCCAATTCCAGCGGCGACGCTACCACTCCGAGCCCGATACCGTCGCCTCATCTCATCCGCTGCGTGCCGCACCGCAGATCCCTTGGCTCTGGCTGCACGCGGCGTTAAAATATCCGGAGCCGTGCTGGCGCTGGGAACCCCCCTCCCCTCTTCTCGGGCAGACGGGCACCGCTTCGCCTCCTCCGCGCAGCGCAGGCAAGAGCAGCCAGCTGCTTCGGGATCGGGACGCGGAGAGGGGAAAGGCGAGTCGTCGTCCGTCCACGGCAGCTTCCCTCCCTCTCCTCTCCGCCCCCGCTTACCCTGGGCCGGCCCCGCCTCCTACGCCCCCCTCCCGCCGCCGCACGATGAGCACCTCTCCCCCCGCCGCCGCCGCGTCGCCTCCGCCGCCTACCGCCGCCGCCGACGAGGCCGCGCGGGCGACGGACACGGTGGTGGTCGACGAGAGGGTCGCCTCACACGTGGACCCGTTCCTCGTCGAGGCGCTCGACAACCCTCGCCATCGCCTCATGAGTACGTGCCGAGGCGCCTTATCTCTTCGCTCACCACATCGCTTCTTGCGCCTGCGGTTTCGGTGTCGTAGGATCATGCTTCTTGTGCGGATGTGATGTGATGGCTGCTGTGGCTTCGTGTCCGTGGGCGATGGGATTTGGGCCGGGATTCCCGCGCCTTGTCTCTAGGGTTTGGGACTGGTGCTTCCTCGGTGCGGAATTGGGGATTAGAATTCCTTTAGGTTTGATTTATCTCGGGAAGCGGCGGGAATAATAGCCTAGTAGTGCAACTGTGTGAATTCCTGAGTTTTCTGATTTATCTTTAGCTCGTATATATACTTGCTGATGCTGATTATGCTTCCATCCTGCAATTTTATGCGCTACAAAACAATACTGATCGGCAACCTGTAGTTTTGGCTCAGTTATAGGTTTACAGTTGGTTTAGTGTATCAAAAATTTACTGGTAGAGATGAATGGAGGCATGATTGTCGTGGTGGTAGAGGTTTTATCTGTCAGGAATCAAGCTGACTCTTTTTTGGGCAATTGTTGTAGCCTCTACAACGCTACTAGCAGTGTACTGAAAGGAGGAGGGATCTGTTCAATGAATTGAAATGGTATCACCCAGAACACTTTGCTTCCAAACCGAGTACCACCGCACCACCTCGAATTCCTACGTGCCTTGGGCCATGTGATGTGCTGCTTACATTTGGAATTGGTGGTTCAGTGCAGTTGTACTTGGCATGGGTCGTACTGCTGCATGCATAGCACTGCTCTTTTTCGAATCACTATTTTGTTGTTCTTTGTTTTTGGCCTTAGATTGTAGATTTCACTAGCTTACTAATATGTTGGGCTAGTAGTTACAAACCTACAACATTTTGTACCCATTTTACAAACCCACAATTATTTTGGTTTGTTTGCATGAAACTACAATTTTTGTAACTATTGCCCTCTCAAAATGGCCAATTGGGTCCACATGTCAGTGGCAGTACATCACATTTGGCATGCAGGCCTTGGTCATGAGCATGTAGCTGACATGTAGGCACAGATAAGACCATGAAATTGGAATAATAAAGTTGTAGTTCCATGAGAAGAAATTCCAAAATATTGGTAGGTTTTTGTTTAATCTACTCTAGTTAGTGTTTGCAATGAATCATAAGCTGAAGTGGAGTATTTTTGGTTAGTGGTGATATAAATGGTTTACTATATGAGTGAACCATCCGTATATGAACCTGTGCCCCTGTCTCCCCATTCTCCACTGTCCACTCTTATGCCAGCATTCTCTACTACCAGATTGTAACAATATGATATTAGATCTCTTCCTTTTTTTTGTTGCTTTCATGCCTTAAAACCACATCTTGGCTCTGAAGTTTGTGCCTTCACCTCATCCAAACTCCTAGGCATGTGCCTCGCATGACTGTACTCTGTACATAGTTTGGCTATGTTACACGGATACGTCCCTGAAGCCGCGTATCGCGTATCCGATACGTATCGGATACGGATACGTGTCCGATACGCCCAGGATACGTATCCTCGGAGTATCCGATTTTTTATTATTTTCGTGCAAATTGGATACGCCATCTGACACGTATCTGGCCTGCCGATACGGCCCAGCCCAGTAAGAAGTGCAGGAAGACAGACCCTTATCCCTCTGCCCCGACGCCCTAGCGTCCGATGTCCGCAGTCCCGCACGGCTGCGCCCGCGCCTTGCGCCGCATCCCCACGCAGTGACACCGCAACCCCGCTCGCCGGCCGCCGGCCACCGGCGACGAGCCTCCGCCTCCGCTCGCCGGCGACGAGCCTCCGTCCCTACTCGCCGGCCGCCAGCGATGAGTTTCCGCCCCGCCCCTCGCATCGCCTGCTGCGCACACGCGCGCCGCGCAGGAGGTGCGCCACCGCTCGCCGGCCTCCCCCGCATCCTCCGTGCCATCAATCGACTTCTCCTACAGACCGTCGCGCCGGGAGCACCACGCTGGGGAGCACCCACCAGTCCGCCGCGGCTGCAGCTGGCTCGCTCGATGCAGGGGCAAGGTGCAGGGAAGAGGACGATTCAGCAGCAAAGCAAGCTGCTGGCGACCTCCCATGAATACATCTCCTTTCATACTTGATCTACTATTCTACTCTAGTTCTGCAGTTCTCGTTGCTTGATTTTGTGTGTTCCCCACATCTGCTTCATGATTAGTGTTTCCCATGCTTGATTGCTTGCATCCAATAGATGGCCTCTACATATTTGGGTAGTGCCAGTGCAAGTGCTAGTCCTAGCATAGGATCTGTGGTCACCGGCCACAACCACAACAGACATTAGGGCTCTCCTGTTCCTGACTTCCTTTTTTAGATAGAAATTTTGGTAATTGAGCATTAATCTAGTATGGTTACTCAAATTTTAGACTTTCACAATTTTAATTTGCATTATTATTTATTTATTATAAAAAAATAGTAAAACGTATCCGCGTATCGTGTTTTCTTAGAAATTGCCGTATCCGCGTATCCGTATCATTCCGATACCGATACGCGTATCCGTATCCATGCTGCATAGTAGTTTGGTGTATACATGAAACAATAATAATGAATTTTATGCAATGAAAACTAGTTGCACCTGGATCTGCACCATGGATTTTTTCAGAAAAATAACAAACACATGAATTGAATATTTTATGCATTTTTACTGTTCAACAGAAGGTCCTTTTACTTATATGTGTACACATTTTTGTTGTCAGTACATTATTTTTCATATTTAGTCTGTCGTTATTACATAATCATTCCAGTTCTCTCTTATTACAGTTCTACGGATGGAACTGGATATACAAAACTTTATGCAGAACTCTCAGCTGCAGGAGTTTGAATTCCAGAACTATCCGACTTCTTACCTCCGCTGTGCTGCTCATCGTGTTGCACAACATTATGGCTTAGAGACTATAGTAGCAGATAGTTTAGTAGAAGGCTCAGTTAGCAGGATTGTTGCAAGAAAAACACCAGAAAGCAGGTATCCTGCAATTGCTTTATCAGAAGTTCCTAGCAGACAAGCAAGAAATGGTCATGAAGCGGCAGAGAAGCTTAAGTTTGTCATCTATCAAAGGCCCAAAGCATTCCAAAATGGAAGCGCTGATTCTAGAAACATGAATGGTGCACCAAAAACTGTTGAAGAGAGAATAGAGGAATATAATAGAGCACGAGCGCGCATCTTCAATGGTTCCATTTCTGCAGATTCTGATGCTGCAAGTGTTTTGGGAACTCTTTCCACTGGCAGAGATGAGCCAGTAAATGTTGAGCCATCTGTTGATGAAATCAAAGTCAGCACAATGAACAGCCGTTCCAGAGTTGCTGTTTTTAAGGATACTGAAAAGGATCGTAGTGACCCAGACTACGATCGAAACTACACAAGGTTAGCATATCCATCAGTAGATTTTTTTTTGTTGCCACCAATTGATGTTAGGATGAGATGGTGAAGGTGTAACATATATCCTCATGCAGGTATGTTAGGAGCCCAGTGCCTGACTTCAACTTGAGCCCAGGTGCCTTCAACTTTGTTGTGCCTCAGTTTATGCAGTACGGCGTTGGTTATGTGCAATCTCCTGGCATGTCCACAAACCAGCCTACTGTGTACTTTGGCCAGCCTGATCTAGCAATGGGGTCTTCTTCTGGAGCTGCTGTTTACCCGCATTGGTCAACGCCAGCAATGATGTATCCCCATTTGCTATGATAATGTTGGTCCAATGATCTCTCAGGTGAGCATAATCATATAACTGAATTCTGGCATTGCAAATATTGCATTTTGAGTATACTGTGCACCTTTAGTTATAATCTCCGATTGTAATACTATCCTCTGTTGAAGCATTAGAACTTATCTTTTTTCATCATGTTTTCTACATTTCAGTAGTAACCCTACAAAAAGTTTCTCTGTTTAGATGTGAATAGCCAGCAAACATATTCTGGTTCTTAACAAATTAGTATAACAATAGGGTCTGCAGTCTTACAACTTGAAAATGACCTTAATTATCTCAAACAAATGAAAACCTGACAATTAAATTTATTTGGGATTTCTTCCTTCAGACGAAATGAACATGATCTTTTGTTGTTCATGCAGGTTCCTCTGTACAAATCTTTCAACCATGGTTAGGCGATTCTGCTTGCTGGAAAGTTGGGAACAATTCTCTGTCGTACTTGCTATGTTGTGCTGTCCTATGATAAGTAGAGTTACTTTAGATTCGAGCCATTTCTATTACAAAAAATTCATGTAGCGTCGAACGTAGTCTGTATAAGGAGTCCTAATTCGTTGAAACTATTATCGCGAACTAGTCAGGAACTGTGATGCTTGTTTAATGTCTAGTTCTCATCTGCAATTTGCTCTCGGATTAGGGTTCACTAGTGCTGCGCCTGGTCTTGAACTGCTTGGCATGGTCGTACTGGTACAACCAGGTTGTCACTTGCCAGCAGTCATTGCTTTCATGCCGATTTTTTAGCCCCTTTTTAATCAAATATTTTAAATAATCTACCCTAAGTTATTTTTTATCTAATGCATTTGGTTGTGCCAGACCACTATGGCGACCAAATAACGTCGTTGTGTCATGTATTGACGCGATAAGTATAAAGTTGGGATCACTTATCAGACATGGTGCTCTTGTTGCACCATTTCTTGTAGTGCCACATGGTGGTTTTGTCATGTCACTCTATTTGGAGTGGTATTTCCTTTGGTGCCACAGTGGTGGTGTTGCAGCAATCAGCTGAATTAGTGGGACGATCCTCGATGGCATGTCCAGCCGGTAGTTTAAAGAAGAATCCTTCCACATTTCACATTTGACAATATTCTTGTGAGAACCCCCTATAGCGATAGGCCTTGGACCCATGACGATTGACGGGAATGCTCGATTATAAGGAATTGTGTGATTTTTTATTTGGAAAAGGAATGCCCGAACAGTTGTAAGGCTTGTAGCCACAAACTTGGGCTGGATACTTCAAGTAAATGGCTCATATATATGCCATGTTCGCTTGGCTGATAAGCCATGGCTGAAAATACCGTTGACTGATTTGTTGTTAGAGAAAAATATTATTTGTTGGCTAAAAAAGTACGGCTTATACACTTTATAGCCCACCCAGTGCTGATTCGGACGGGCCCTCAATCAAGCTCTGCGCTCAAGGACCCCGTTCGAGTAAGCTGCAACCCAGCCCACGAGCAAAAAGCGTTAAGCATCGCTCGCCACACCAAGACGGACGGAAGCAGAGGAAAACTACGCCATGACCATGCAATAATGTTGAACTGAACGGCCATGACCGCTGCATTGTACTGGAGCGAAACGCCGGCATTGACTTGTCTAACAGCTGACGGCCGGTGCAGCTCCTCACTGAGCCCTGTCAACCCCCAACACACAAGTACCTAGGGATAAAAACGGTCGGGCGCGGTCCAGAAAATGTCTTAACCATTCTCGCTTCTGTATTTTTTTTGCCGGGAACGGAAACGAGAACGGGAAGGCCGGACGGAAAAACGAAACCGGTATTACGGGATATTGGAAACGGAATATTTCGAACAGGAACGTGTCGATTACGATCAGGAAGCGGTAACACAAAACGGGAACATCAATATATGTAACCACTTAAAACAATGAGCTCGATGCAACAATAGCAACCATATGCAAACAAGTGGACAAGTTCATAACGTCCTGGAGCGTTGTTATATTGTTGAACCATGAAGGATACGGAATTGATGACTGAAACCGAAACTTAGCAACTACAGTATATCGATATCGCCTTGCCTCATCCAGTCATCGGCTGCGACTTGCATCATGACAAAAAAATCAGTGCAGCCTCACACGCAGGAGATGGTAACAGGTAGATAGCGCTACACCGGCACACGCTGATCAGCAACCGGCGGCAGGTCAATCCAACTATTGAAGGCCCCCTCCGGTGTCTCATCATGGGCGAACCACTTTCCAGCCAGAACAACTGATGAGGCTAGGGGCCGGAGGACGGGAGGAGGCTGGGTGGCGTGCACCGGGCCGAGGCGGAGGCGGGTTGTGGGAGTCCGGCCGGCTGGGGCCGGCCGGGGGCAGCGGCGCAGGCGCGCAGCGCTCGGCCGCTCGTAGTCGCTAGGGGCAGCCGGGTAGTCTCGCTCTCGCAGAGAGGCGGAGGCGGCGCCGCACGGGACGGGAGTCGCCGAGTCGGGGACTCGGGGATAGCGGATAGGGTTTGGCCGCCGTTTTTAGGACGGACGGGAGGGAGTAGCGGATGGGAGTGGGCTCGGCCTGTGGCGCGGGAGCAGCGGGAGGTTTCGTGGGCTGCATCAATCAGTGGGCTGAATATGAGGTTTAGGTGTACAAAATACGGGAATACCGTTAGGAATTTTTCTGCCCGAATACGGAACCGTGAATACGGTCGGGAAAATTCCTTAATTGATTCCGTTCCCGTTCCTTCCTAAAATACGGTGTCGGTTTCCCGTTTCCTGTTTTTCGCAAAAACGGTATACAATCGGTTAATGCGGTATACGGTGTTGGTCGGTACGGGAATTTCTCGTCCCGTTTTCATCCATACATGTACCACCACCCACATCATGGCAATCAGTGAGCGAAGCGTAGTACAAACTTGGTCCTGGAAAAAAAATACAACTATTGGTTGCGTGCTACGAAAAGTGGTTCGTGTTTGATCAAGTTTTTAGTAAATAATATTCACAGTTATATCTTTAGATTAATTTATTATGAAAATATATTTCGTAATTAATCTGAAGGTATTTATTTGATATTATAAACATGAATATTTTTTAATCCATAATTAAACGTGACACTGTGTGAGGGACGGAGCTAGTACGAAATTTGGCAAAGTGTTTCCTGCCGTCGTCCCGTCGCGGGTATAGTAACGTACTGTACAACGCTAATCCAGGGCAGCAAGCGGATTCCTGTGGATGTGATCCGGCCCACCAGAGGCCGAAGCCGAGCCGTGGAGGACCCCTGCGCCCGGCACGCGCGGAGGGGGTTACGAAAGATGGCCACCGCCCACCGAGCGGTCGACCTCGTTACGCCAGCTGTCCCGGGCCGGTAGCAGCACCAGCATTATTTCATCCCATGTTTCGCACGAACTGGATACGCTCGCATGGACCTGGACCAGGTCGGTCAATGGTCTCATCGGCTCCGCATCCAACCAGGTGTCGCCGACCGGCAGACGTACTCCGTATGGGAAAGGGGCCACGAGGGGCGTCCGTTTCGCGTGGATTAGGATTGGATTGGGGAGCGACGCCTGGTTTCCCATTACGGCCGGTGATAGTTGAACTGGAGCTGCGAGGCAGGCAAATTAAGCGTGACAGATATGACCAGAGCACTTCACCGGCTACCAGCGCATTCGTTTGCTTGTGCCATTGTCAGAACGATCGTAAATTTCAAATTTTAATAATATTTTCTCTCACAAAAAAGCCAAGCAGAAGATTTTTTCACAAACCAAAGAACGATACGAATCAGCCAACCAAACAGGCTGTACGTTTAGGGCATCCCCACCTCCAGGTCCTACCGGGCACACCGCACACGCTACGCCGCTCAGGCAGGCTGCACAGCGTCGACCGGACGAACGCTGCAGCTGGTGCCGTGGTCCAGGCAAGGCGGCGATCAATGATCAGATCAGATCGCCCACACAGACAGAGGCCCCTCCGATCTGAACGCCCCCCACTTTTCCTCGTGGATTCGATGGAAGCGAGCGGAGCAGCCGCGTCCCGCGTCCCGCGTCCCGTCAAGGGAGGAGGGGAAAAGGCAAGCGCATCGCATCTCCCCCTGGACAGCTAACGCCTCCCCGCGCCGCGCCAAGCGGAGCAGATCAGATACGCGCGGGAGTGGGCCCCCGCCCGGCCCGTTCGTTCGTTCCCTGGCGGACAAAAGCGAGGGGGGAGAGAGAAGGACAAACCCAGATTCTGACCTCAGCCACCACCACTCTACCCGCCTGGATCTCAGGTGTACATGCAAATGCAAACAGTGGCGCGTCGTCCTCCTGAGTCCTGACCGCAGTCCAGTTCGACACGGGCGCCATCTGCTGCCCCTGGCCCTGCCATGGGGTTTATCTGCCGGCAGCCTTGAGGAGTGCTGGACTCGTATCACTCAGGATCAGCCGCTCAGGCAGGCGGGCAGCCCGTCACAGGAGCCGTGCTAACAGAAGGAGGCGTACTTTCAAGGAAAAATGAATATCTAAATAAACGTTGGGATTATAAGTTGAACTTGAGACCGAATCCGTATTCTCCTGGCTGCATGTGAGTATGTGACCTTGAAACCGCCAGAATTAGACAATTAGTGCGTTCTAACGTCCTCGTTCCAGGACGTCTACAACGGATAAGAATTGTTCGTCCAGCCAAGTTTTCCGTGATAGCAAAGTCTCTGCAGATAATAAAGCAGCCCCAGCACACGTTGATTATAGGAGGTTAACGTAAACAAATACTCAGCTAGATGGACTGGAGACGACGACAACGACTCCATTTCAATTCGTAGCAGCAGCAGCTCTTGTGGACCTTTTCTGGTTGGTCGTATTCACACTATCAAGTATACTTCTACACGCGGTCGCTTTTTAAAAAAGGCATGAGCTCCGTTCGGCTGATCGTAAAGCCGCCTATGCTGATTTGTACGACTGAATTATTGGGAGAGAAAAATACTATACCATAACTTATAAGCCGGTTTATAATGACAGCCGAACACTCCAATTATTTCTAATAGTGGACGATCAAACGAGTACATCATATGG